GTAGTACCAAGCAGACTACATTATCATTGACTAAGATCAACATAGACAACATAAGTGGGAAATATTTGTAGAATACACACAAAAACCAGATCAGCTTTTGAAAAATGATAAAATATTTACAAGAAATGTTGATTATATGGAACTGTTAGACGTACGTAATCTATAAGTTGAGTCTTTTTTTTTAACTCATCGGAAATTATGACTTTTATTAGTTTTTAAATAAGTTATTTGTTTTTAAATAACTACTTTACTTCTTTGATATTGCTCGATTTCCGAGCAACATGTACACTAGTTAAATTTAAAGCTCTGGGTTTACTATTGTTGTAACAAATGTAAATAGGTACAGTAATAGGCCTTTTGAAAAACTTTTTGTATTTTAAAATACTTTGATATATACCTACCCTAGTCAAACATACAGCTCGAGTATTGCAAATAACCTCTGGCTCAATAAAAAGGAATCTATATTTTTTTTTAAAAATGTTGGATTTTTGTGTGCAGCAAATAAATATTTATTGTTATAGGCATTTTGGTATCAATTTAAAGCTCTAATCCTATAGATATGCCTTTTGCGGGTTTGGATGATATTACGTGAAAGCCCTTCGTCCTATAGGCTTTGTGCTGAATTCTGTTGTCAATCATCTGAACTTTTTTCAAATTTACATCAAAACAGATGGACATGATACAATTTTGTTTACATACATAAGAAAATGGGGTTATCTTTACAGTTGGTGAAGTTTTAGGGAATTCATGTAAAATGTTGAAATGTTAATTGTATAAAATGTAAAGAAGAAAATTATTTACTTTAGATTTTGTGTTTTCATAGTATGTTTCATTAGACATTTTTTATAATTTTTCTATGATATCTCGAAGAGATCGCTCGCAATGAAAATTATATGGATATGATGGGAGGAAACTGTTTTCATCCTATCACGGATTTTGAAGTCACAAAGTGAAGCAGGTTGCCAGTACTACTTAAATACCTTTTTACGGTGAAATTGACACTAATTACATTAATTTAACAGCCGACTGACGTGAAACATTAGATCAACGATCATGTAAAAGGTTCTATTATTCCTTCTTTGTTAACGCTTCATTCATTAAAAGCCACAATGGTTGGATCAATTACTTGTGTACTCATTGCATTAACCTTATCAGTGTTGTTGGTGAAGGGGGGAGGGGTGAAAGAAGGGAAGTTACCGGAAGTAGATGGTAATTTCCGGTCAGTCTGGTGAAGGTTTCTCACCCCTTCACGCTAAGGTTAGCCACAGAATTAAACACATTTTGGTCATAGACTTTTTAAATAAATTCGCTTTAAGTGTATCATTAGGCTTAGCACACTTAGATATGAATATTGGTCCACTATTTTGTTGGTTCTACCATGGATAAAACATGTTTTATCTATGGTCCTACCTTACTTCTCTGCTGTTTCAACTGCAAAAGTTGGTTCTAAGATATTCAATAGCATTAAAAAGTTATAAGGTTTACCAAATGCACTGTTAATTTTCTTTGCATTTATGACAACAGCTAATTTGAACCAAACCGCAACAGAAAGCACGAGTATAACTGCAATAAGCATTCTTACGCCAACCCCGTACGAAGGACCGGTACTCTGATAGTATTATTACTATCAGAGTACCCGTCCTTCGTACGGGGTTGGCGTAAGAATGCTTATTGCAGTTATCTGAATATATTATTATATAATAAATTATTTATAAAATTATTATAAAATAAATAATTTTATAAAATTATTATTTATAAAATTATTTATAAAATTATTATATAATAAATTATTTATAATAATTTTATATTATTATAAAAACAAAGGTTAACGTTACAAAGTAACAAGACCAGCTTTTTGTCTCCAAGAAATATATCACGAGAACACCAATATCATTGGGATAAACCAAACGTAACTAAAAAAATAAAATACTTGAAAGTTATAAAATTAAGAAATTTCCCTTAGAAATATCTGAAGGAGGTTTTAACGGTCACCGATTGCACATGCAACTCCAGGACCTTGGCACGTATAATTAAAATGCCCAGAACACACGCCATATTTGCATCAGCCAGGCAACACTATGGAGTTGTAGCTCAAGTTTTTACACTTGCAAAAACCTAAGTTGCCAACAATCACCATTACGTTGCGGAACAATACGTATAAACAGATAAGGTTGGGAGGGTGGATACGCCGTGACACGGCAACCGGTGAATATGTTTGAGGTTAATCTTCTTGTCGATCAGAACTAACACATCGGTGGTGTATTGAAGTAATCCTGAAATGTGATGTGTTAATGATGACTGATGACGAGGATTAGGATGGCATTTTACAATACACATACTATTTTATATTTGTCGTTGTTGTGTATCAGCTGTTGAAGATTGTTATGTTTATGGAATATGGAAGTGCCCCTGAACATTATGTATTTCACCTGGCTTTCAGGAGCACCCCTCCCCCCCATATTGCGATGGGTATAGTAACGTCTGAATGTGTTCATGTGTTTATGTTCAGGTAATTTAGGTATCTTAAGATTAATAGACTTAATAGGCGCATTAGTGGTACGTTCTGTGGTTTCAAAAAGGGAAAGTAGATGGTAGTAATCAAACTAATTCTAGGATTGAGACATCGAGTCACCATTGTCGTCCTCAAACGTTATAGCATAAAAACGCAGCAGGACATAAATCTTATATGGTCAAACTTTAAGGGTTTTTCGTCCAAAGATTCCGGATCCATCACTTGACGGATTTTCATGATTCTGCTGTTCAAACAAAAATCATGTTGCAAAGAAGGGAATTTCGAAGATATTATTTGAATTTTAGGTTTCAGTTTATTTAGAAATTCCATTTAAATGTCAAGAAGGCCCAGAAGCTTAAGCTAACATTTTAAATTTATTTCAGAACAATAATACAAATTTGTAAGCTAAATGGTAGTGTTTAGCTTTAAATAAGTTGTTCATGTACTTAACACAGATTTATACGGGTGTTTTTTCTGTATTAAAATCGTTTAGGCTTTTTTATGTTAACCTTGCCAATTGTCATATTTTATGTTTTGAACAAATTAACATAAACAATTCCTAACGTCTTTAAAACTTATACATCTTGAACCTCACCTGGAACTACTATGCAACTTACCTTGCATTCAACTTATATATAGCTTGCTGCAGGAAACATAAATATAACACTAAACTTTGACATGTATACCAACTTAACTTTTTAGACTTTTCCATATTTACGAGTCAACCCTACACCATATTCCTCACATAGTACACCCAAGGTCCCGGTCGATTCTGTACACAGGTTTGTCCAGTGGGTCACTTATTGTCCGGAAGTAGGCCGGCTACTGACCTTAGACTTCATCAGATACCTGTATAACATGACCTGAAGTGATAACTGACCACCGAGCATACTGACACATTATCAGATACCTGTATAACATGACCTGAAGTGATAACTGACCACCGAGCATACTGACACATTATCAGATACCTCTGTATAACATGACCTGAAGTGATAACTGACCACCGAGCATACTGACACATTATCAGATACCTCTGTATAACATGACCTGAAGTGATAACTGACCACCGAGCATACTGACACATTATCAGATACCTCTGTATAACATGACCTGAAGTGATAACTGACCACCGAGCATACTGACACATTATCAGATACCTCTGTATAACATGACCTGAAGTGATAACTGACCACCGAGCATACTGACACATTATCAGATACCTGTATAACATGACCTGAAGTGATAACTGACCACCGAGCATACTGACACATTATCAGATACCTGTATAACATGACCTGAAGTGATAACTGACCACCGAGCATACTGACACATTATCAGATACCTCTGTATAACATGACCTGAAGTGATAACTGACCACCGAGCATACTGACACATTATCAGATACCTCTGTATAACATGACCTGAAGTGATAACTGACCACCGAGCATACTGACACATTATCAGATACCTCTGTATAACATGACCTGAAGTGATAACTGACCACCGAGCATACTGACACATTATCAGATACCTCTGTATAACATGACCTGAAGTGATAACTGACCACCGAGCATACTGACACATTATCAGATACCTGTATAACATGACCTGAAGTGATAACTGACCACCGAGCATACTGACACATTATCAGATACCTGTATAACATGACCTGAAGTGATAACTGACCACCGAGCATACTGACACATTATCAGATACCTCTGTATAACATGACCTGAAGTGATAACTGACCACCGAGCATACTGACACATTATCAGTAGGTGACCAGTATGTTTATATCAGTCAAAAGTGAAGTGATGTTTCACGGATCAGTCAAAAGAAAAGATAGCTAAGTCCGTTTTGTGCACGGTGGACACCTAAATGGTTCACAGTTCTTACAATAGTGTTAAATTGAACACATTCCCTATAGATTTATCATCTTGACGTTCAGGTGAAGACAATTTAGGTATGTTTTGTAAGGACTTAAGTGCTTCTTCTGGTTATTTATAGGTTATTCTGACATCTTTTGGACGAATTTCCGACTAATTAGCAATATTTATTCGAAACACACATCCTCAAGCGTTGACTTACGTCACAAACACTCCAGATTTCATAATAGGGTGAGAAGTGTATTTACAGTAGCCTATTCAAAACTGAGTTATTACTTATTAGACGAAATTAGGGTCTGAATAGTGGTAAGGTTAAGTTGTACTAACTAAAAAGTTGACTTTTAAACCAATTATAGAATTTAAAGCAAATTTGTGTATTTTTTGTTCTGTTGGATTGGAGTGCTCTGACGACATCACGTGTTTTATATTCTTATATTTTTAAGCGTCAATTTTACAACATACTTTATTTGTTAATTACTGGCTAGTCTTACTCTTTATACTTGGAAGATAATAGTATTAACTAAGCGCTGTGCTACAAGTACATATTTGTATTCCAGTATTCAACGGAATTGTTATCAAAATTTCTACTTTGTACTCACATTGTTCCTGGCAGTGATGTCACAGCCCAGCTCGATCATGCGGTCCACGAACGACGTTCGATTCTCCTTCACAGCGAACATCAATGGCGTCATCCCGGTGGCCTGAACAACAAGTTATGTAAAATTGTATTCAAGTTATAAAAGGCAGACAGTTCTGCATTGCACATGAAAGAACATCATTAACACGTTCACTACAAGCTGACTCCCGTTTGAGTACTTCAGGCCATGTGGCGGGTAATGGATACCTAATGCATTTGTTTTAGGGAAAACATATAATAGATTTTATGGTAGAGAAATTCCACTCATGTACTACTGTTCAGTACGAGAGGGGTGGTAAGATTATAGATATTTAGCTATAGACATTTAAGTTGTCCATTCATCATAGCATTACTCATCCATTATTATAGCCCCCATCCATCCATTCATATTACATAACAAAACTGTGACGTATATGTTATCCTGAATGCAAATGGAAAATAAGTGTAGAATGAATGATTTGAGTAAGATAGAACGTGTGCAGCTTAACTGATAAAGTCCAACTGGTTTTAGTTATAATTTATTATATGTCCAACGACCAAGGACACCTGAGTCAACTTTCAAACAGTGAAAAGCCACTGACCTTTCTCAGGATCAAAAAAGTACCCACCCTTGACTATAGAGTAAAAACATAAGTACTATTCACATATTCAAGTTGCAGCTAGTAAAGGCCCTAACCTAATCTGAGCCACCGACAAATAGTGATGCTTCTCTGTATGTTGTAGACAATTTCTAAAAATATTAATCTAGAGGGCAACCTGTCCATACTAAAGCATCTTTCATCTCCGTCAATTATGCAAATAGTGGTTTAAGAACCAACAAGCAAGTTTACACTGTGCCACACTCTTTTATTACCAAAGATGATATCAATAATTTTATCTATTCATTTTGCTTACACTACACTTAGAGTTGATTCGGGGTGTGATTAAACAGTAAACAATACATTCTGAGGTGAATCATATCAACAAAACAAATCCTAAACTGGAAAAATATAACAGTGTGTAAGAATGTGTTTAAATGTAATCAATAGTGTTTCAGGTCAAGGGGTTCGGTGTGTTGACACATATTTCAATGAGTATTTTCGCGCCGGAGAGATCTTATCAGGTTTTACGTCACGCTAGGCTGTGATAAGAGTAAGACCGCGAAACCCCCTTTCTTCACCATACTGTGCTGAGCGGTCTACGCGTCGTCTACTCAACTACCAACACTGGTTTATCAGGGGTTCTGAGCTCAACTTTTAACATTTACTTAGTAAAATCTAAACGAAATTCCAAATTAAGTTACAAAAATACTTTTTGGACCCGCTTGTGACAGATTGTGTTGCAGATTTTTTTATTTTTTTTAACAGACCAATTTAAAAAAGTTAAGCTAAGCCGTCCTGCTCTGTTTTTATTACTTGCATGTGAAAGTATTGATTACTACTAGTTTTGTACTGTTATTATTATTATTTTATTATTGTATATAATTTAGAAGTAGTTTTAAGTTTACATTTGTAATACAATGTATATTGTCCGACTACGATGAAATATTTTTTATTTGATTTTGAAGAGTTAATGTGTAATTTCTTAGCTCAAGATGTGACAGTAGACAGTAGGTACACCGTAAATCCTTTAAACTAAATGCAGTACTTAAATTTAGTATTAAAAAACCTATTCTTTGAAGAAAGTATTTCAACATTAATCAAATACAGTAAATATCTTGTTTCCATCACTAAAATAAACATTACTACAATTCAACCAAAGCGATGTTGCCATGAATGTTTTCCTTGTATCACCAAAGAACTGAATAAATGAGGTATATGTTTTTCAAATAACCAAAAGCTTACACAAGGAAACGTTGTGATATGTCTTCAACTTTTCGAATCATTGACAATTCACCAGCCATTCAAGGGCAAAAAACGTAGTAAGCTACACTTACAATTTTGTAATGAAAGTGACCTCGATCAAGAGATACATTATCTCGTTTTCTCATAGAAACACGATGTAAAAATAATTGGAGAATCCGACGGATTGGAGGGTAGAGAAGTTATGGATAAACGCAAAGTACATGGACGTATCGACCAGATAGGAATTGTGGGGAAACATGCAACGGCAGGGTGCAGCAGGGAGACATGTCCCGTTGGTTGAAAATATGAATACATAAGAAATATATATTTTTGCCACTATATATATAGTGAGAGATAACGGATGCGTTCAAAGGCCGTATGAGACAGAGGAACGCGTTATTTTTAACACGCCCAAGATATAAGTTACTTTGGTGGGTTACAAGAACTCACCTAGTGATTCGGTCCGATCCTCTAGACAAGTAGTCAAAAATAGCAAAATCTATTCTAATACAACCATTGATATAAAATAAGATTAATGTACAATTTAAGTGATAGTAGTTTTCATTACTAGGAGCATTGGTATACGAAAAAGTACCAAAAAGTCACTTTCGCTCCGTGTGATGAACCGATATTTTCATCATACTGTGGAAATAAACTTCTAATCGCTACAAAATTAGACCACGTAATTTAAGGATTTTAAAAGTTGTCTTTAATTATTACAATGTTGTTTACAAACATAATTTAAAATATCGTGTGATTTGCAGTTTGTTTCGTGCCATTAACAAATTTTGAAGTTAGCAAATCGAAAATTTTAATCAAATAAATATTTATAACTTTTTCATAAAATATACGAACGGAATCAAGATTTTAATATCAGCTTAAGTCAGATTTAGCCAGGGAGAATGATAATTAAGTAAACAATTGAGGAGATAAGAATGAGGTCAATCTCGATACTTATTTGTTGAGTGGAGTCTAGCATGTCTGCGCCTGGGCAGAGGGTAGCAAATAGCCTACGTAATCAGCCTTGGTTTGATGACAAGGAAAAAACATAGAAAGAAACAATTATTTTTATAACTAGGCTAATAAAATTTGGTGTCAATATTTTATAGCGCAAATGTTTTCAAAGTTTTACTGGAATTAATGATTTATGAGGTCCAGAAAGATGCTAATTGTATGTTACTATATCTGCAAAAGTTGAATTATTTGTCTTATGATAAGCTAACAAGAAAAATGAGTTCTATTTTCCAAGATTTTTACATAAAACAGAAGTAAACATACCCTTGATATCGATCAGTTGTTGCAGGATTTTGATTTTAAACAAAGATAAATTATTTGGATGTGACTCTCATAAGTGGGTTATTTTACGTCCTATTGTTGTCTATTGATTGAAGTCAATTTATTAAAATTTTTAAGCATAATCAAGTTTAAAAAAAGCTGACCCAGATGAATTGAGCCGTCGACAAGATCATATATTTTTTTCTATTATATATATTTTCGACTTTTAACTTTTGTTTGTTAAATAAAAATAATGTTGCAATATGAAGATAAATAGAGTTTATCACAAGGGAAAAGGGTGTCTTTTAAACCTTCGGTTCAAAAAGAGTCACTTTACGCACTAGTGATGATATATATTATTTTATTGTAGAACACACATATTCCTCCATGCTCTTTCAAAACACAAAAATGGGTGAATATAGTCCTATTTGTCATAACAATTTCAAATGTTGAATTAGCCTTCTAATTTCTAAAACTACGATGGTTTATGGGGTCATAGCAAATGCAACAGCTTACAGTTTGCTGTCCATTTTATTTTGCCTGATTAAACTTTTGGTGTTAAAGAAACAATCGTGAATTTCAGTGTCCACACTCTTTTGGTGTTTGAAATCAAATGTAGTTAATTATCTATTATTCCAAATATATTTACAAAGTTAACAAATAAATCGTAACTTCATGTTAGTTCTATAGTTAGAGACAATAAACTACTAATGAAACTGAGTTTTCTTATGTAAGAACCTTCTACAGCTTATAGCTTACACACATGGGTACTGTTTCAGCACATATATAGTCGAAAGATAACGGAAACGCCTTCAAAGGCTAATTGATCCTATGTGTTATATTTTACTATGGCATTCTAATCCAATGTTAGGGTTTTAGCAATTTCGAATATAAAAATAGTTGTAGTTTCATTGGGCCATCGACAAAGTACGTTGATGGCACGTAGTCCCTACCAAGCCAAACTGACATGATAACTTATTGTAAACTACAGGAGTCCCATAAATCATCGCAGTACTGAAAACGAAGGTACAAAAAAAATAGAATACACGTGGTATCACATTTTGTAAGTGGCTCATAACACTACGTTCTATCATAGAACACACCATACTTCTCATCTCTTGTAAATTTTGAAGCTCGTTTTTCGTGTCTAGTTGAACGTGGTCACTGATTGCTAGTGTAGACGAAATTTTCTTTTTATTTTATGGTTATTTTCATGATTTGTGCTTTACTGTTTGGTTATGTTACTAGGAAATTGGTTATTGTTAATGATTAGATCGTTTTATTTGGTAAAATTAGGTTTTCAACGACTGAAATAACAAGAAACAAACTGTAAACAAAACACGACCTCCTCAGTGCAACGTACAGAACTAACAATAAAATTGGCTTCAGCTGTTCCAAAAGGATGAGAAATCTACCAAAGGAGTGTGTTTTATCTATGGTAGAAAATTGCCTACAGCTGGGCCCATATAGATTGAATGTTTATTAATCGTCTACTTCAGTGATGGTAATGCAGGGGAGATTCGTACCGGATCCATGATCCCAGCCAGTGGTGAGGGATTGACGTCTTCTCCCCCGGCAGCCACGGTCTTCTCCAGCCCCTTGAGTACTTGGTCCATGGGTGGCCACTCGCCCTTCTGGCAGAGCTGCAACACCCGCATCGCTGCCTCCCGAGTGGCCCCAGCACTCCCGGGCTTGGCCGCTCCTCCGTTGGCCCCATCTGTAAGTGGAAACAAGATGTAGGTATATTTAAATTTTAAATAAATGCATTTATTAAAAGCTCAAATACCCATTCACCCTCTACAGTGTTGTGGATTTTCTCTGGATTATAAACTCACCTTTATGAATCACCAAAACATAAAAATTCACCTAGTAAACGGAAACTCTAAATTAAAAAAAAATCTCTAGATTTCAAACACTTTTAACAGCAACTCCCAACAAAATTAGACATGTTAAGAATTATTTCTCTCATATCTCAACAAATTTCGCATCCCAAACTGAAACATCACCTTAACATTTTGTGAATCCTTAAGCTTGTAATTTCCATCCAGTTTAGGAAAATGCTTTGTCAGTAGTTTTACTGAGCCAAACAACACATGTTTAATGTTTGGAGGGCGATAAAAAGACGCAAGGCCACGCGAAAATCGATCCAGACGAGATCGCGAGTGAAACGTAAGAAGTGGGGCATGCGAGCCCGGAGCTCAGCCCCGTGGCACGTCATGGGGGGGGGGGGGGTAAACGTGGTGTTGCAAACAAGCTGAGATTGTGACATAGGTAAACTATGGATGGATCAGAAAACCAGTGTTTTAAGGGAAATTATTTCAGTCTCTTATCTTCATCTGGGTTGTAGCACGAAATGGAAATGTCGAACCAGGTGTGACAAAAATAAAGCTTTGGAAAAAGAACAAAGACAAGACTAATAGTCTAGATACACTAGATGGTATGGTAGGGCCTACCAATGGTAGATGGTCAAATCTTGGATTCCAGGAGATTTTTTGTTGAATTAGTGAAAAGGATGGACAATTCGGTGCGTTACAGTAGTCACTCTCCGGTAAACTGTCTACTTCAGTTGAGCTCTAGCTTCCCGTTCAGAAACGTTAAATGATAGTGGAAATTGTTTATTTTGTGTGAAATTTATTAATTCGCCATCCCTGTGACACTAAATGTGTAGGTTAACTATGGTATGGCACACGAGTTGTGACAAAACTGAAATGTTTAAAAATTGTTTGGCGGTTAAGAGGACGAATATGGGGATTGGTGACGTTGTAGTTATGGAAAATTTGACTTAATCAGGCCAAGGAACAAAATAAAGTGGTAAATACTAAGTATATAGAGCATCGGATGGCTTATAGAATTATTGGTTGTAAATTAACTATGTCTAATACGCGATGGTATCTGCCTCGTGCAAAAAAACGGAAAACATGGATAGGCAACAAGCTTGACAGCTCTCTGAAATAAGTAAAGTTTTGAATTCATTAGAGAATCATTCAGTAGATGCAGCCTGATTATTTAGTCATTGAGATGCAATATGACGAAAATTATAGTTCACCACATGGGCAAAAAAACTTTTTAACCCTCGCTAAAACAGTCACTTTAGGTCCTAATGACAAAACTGTGATGACGTATAAATTGCACTTTCTCCAGCACGTTTTGTGTATCTTTTAAACATTTTGAAACTAAAGAGATCCAGTGTCACGCTGAAGAAAAATTATAGAAGAAGAAAATTCAATGATGAAATGTTGGAGTGAATTAAGTTTTCTCGGTAGGTAATTGAATTATCCAACAAGTGAAGTGATGAGGTGTGGTGCGGTATGTGGTGACGCCAACTTACTGCAATTTGCAACATGCAACAAAGTACATCCCAAGTTATACCCTGCTGGCGATATTAATTATCCAACTTTTCAACAAGGCTGATTTGAGCAATTTTTGTATTTTCATTGTATTTAGCTACGAGCTATCTTTTTCAATTTATATTTATGTGTATTTTACTAAATTTAGTAACAATCAGTTTAAGATCAGATTTTGAAGTCTCACTATGTAAGACGGATATTATGGAAAACTAAAAGCTAAATATCTTCTAAAATCTTCCTTTAAATAATTTTAAACTCAGTTTTGGTTATTGACCGCACCCAACTACATCATTTTGTAGCCAACCTACAGGCAAAGTTTGGCGATCGAAAGTTCCCATAACAGACTACTTCAACAGTAAATTTGCATGGCCTAGCCCAACCCGGGTGTTTGGGTCCCTCGCTATTCACAGTTTCAAAGTGGGCGGGTTGAGCTAACGTCGCAGCTATCGCGCCCCAAATCTACTTTGATTTATCTTTGCGCCTGGTTGGCCTATCTGACTCTAGTGAACATGTAAGAATTTTATAGAGCTATAGGATAATAACTTTCGTAAAACCTAAAGGTTATGAATATTCGTTTAATCTTTACTTGAGCAATTTTACCAACCTTTACTCGTATTTGGGACACTAAAGTTGAACCGTAAACCCTTAAACTGTCTTTGACTGCGCTAACTTAAGTTTTCTACAAGTTTTTTCGCTCAATTCGTTTTTTTAGTGGCTAATATTTTGCTGAAAACCAAATTACCTTCTTTAGGTTTATTTGGTATGTGATATAATAACAACTAGGCCAACTCATTTAACTGCGCATTTATGCCAATACCATAAGCGTGACAGCTTTCCTTCTACACACTTCACTGAATAGAAATCGTCTTCCTAGTGTAGTACATTGGGCATGGTTATTGGTTTAAGCTACAATGTAAAGAATAGTTCAAACGTCTTGTCCATTTTCTCCTGTACGTCCTTATGATAAAACTGAATGTATTATGTTCTAGAAGAGTTTAAGAAATGCAATTCATCTAATATGAATAATTGCCCTGCATATTGTATAACATTTTTAAATAGAATTTACCACCATCTTTATCTTAAAATAACCCATTCAGGATTCTCACGTCGAAGCTAGACAACCTGTATATTATCAAAAATAACCGTGGCAGGATTGTTAAAATACAGATTATTGTGATTACTTTTCTTATAGTAAATTGCTATAAAATTTAATCCATGGTTAATTTCTGGCTATAGTGTGTCCAAATTATTTACGATGATATTTCACATTTCTTTTGGCTCAAGTCCTTTACAATATAAAGTTCCCAAAACTTGAAATATTCAAAATTAGTAATTTTAGTTAATAACTAACTATATAGTTGGAAATTGGTAAAATATAGTTAATGATCGACTATTTAAATAACTAACTGTTAAACATCTTAAAATGAATACAGAATTTTACCTTAACATTTTTACTAATGAATTGCATATAATGTATTGCAGTCTCCCTAAATAAAAAACCCTAACAAACTACAAGTAACATAGTAGGGACGCTAGGGGGGAGCTTGAAGATGACATTGTTGAAACACTTAATTTTGTTTATGCTACAAAAGGATGATTCACGCTTTATTTTTGAACCAATCACGTGGTAGATTACAATCAAGTACAAAATTACTTTTAAGACCGTTTGCAATGGACTATGCAAAACAAAACGTTTGATATTTTGGTTTTATGGTTTTTATACGCAACGATCATTCGCCGGGGAGTAGCCATTCATCGGTGCACTCATCATAGATTATACAGTATAGACAATTTTTAGATGTAAAAACATCTGCTGATTGTCAACGCTATGAGCCACATTGTGAATAACTTCCTTTTGAGCTTTATTCACCAAGAGCCTAGAATTATATGCCTAACAGTGATCCAATCATTGTTATCCTACTAATATTATAAATGTGAAAGTTTGTGTGTTTGTTTGAAGTTCAATCACGCATACACCACTGGACGGATTGGGCTGAAATTTGGCATGATGATAGCTCACATTCCCGATTAACATATAGGCATATTCTTCTCTCAAAAATCCTTTCGGGCTTCGCCCCAGTGGCTCTGTAGTTCCCCATGTTAACCTCATGAGTATTCATGTTTAAAGGGAATTAAAGAGTTTAGTCAGCTGTTTCAACTAAAAAAGTTGGTTCTATTATAAGATTTACCAACAGGGTGCAGCTCTTAATTTTTTTACATTTATGTAAACAGCTAATTTGAACTAAGCAGCAACAAAAAACTGTGATACGCAAGAACTGTCATAGTAGGATTGTTTACTGTTATGTTTATGTTTTTAAAGTCATGAATAGTTTGTGATTTTGTGTGAATTCGTAATAATTTCTTTTTCTTTATTGTTTAGGTGAAGTGGTAGAACGTTATGGCTATGGTAGATGTGTAATACCATTAGTATACCGAGAATTTAAAGAAGCAAATTTTATCAAACTGTGTCCTCCTCCATTGCAAACGCAAAGCTCGAGTATAACTGCAATAAGCATTTTAAGCTTATATGCCAACCCCGTACGAAGGTCGGGTACTCTGCTAGTATTGTATAACATTATTTTGAAATCTCATTATTTCTGCTAAAGCATTTTAATTTAAGGTCAAAATATCTAGCAGATGAACAAACGCGACAACAATCATGAGTAAAAAACTTTTGAATTTAGCTGATACAACTAACGCAGGTAACATAATACGTTAAAAAGTAAAAGTGTGACCAATATATATTAAATTGTGCAAATCTATTGTGGTCACCTACACCTCTCATTCTCTAATTAGACGGCCAGCTATCAATATTAACTATTATCAAAACTATATTTCCCCCTGAATTAATTATTTCTGCTAGAACCTCTGAATATCAGATAAGTACAATGTTCAACAATATTATTTTTAAATCACAACCAACAACAAATAGGAATTTTCGCTACTTTTCCTCACACAAACTATCAGCACTATCAAATACAAACAACCGTTATCAGAACGTCTTAACTGGAACATTCACTGTATGAGTGAGTCTTGTTTCAACGATGATGTGAGTTTTTTACTGTACTTTCTTATATTTTTACGATGAAATAGAAGGGTAAAGGTTTGGATTTTGGTTTCTTCTACTATTTTAAGTACGAAAATCCTAAACACGAATGAAAATTTATAATCCCTACATCAACAATACTATGTATTGTGTGGATAACAATCTTACTGTATTGTTTCATAATTTTTTTCATATGTAAAATAATATTTTTATACTATGATATTGTAACACTCAGTTATTGATAATCATCATGATAGTTTCGTCTTTGTATTAAATAGTTTTGTATTCATCGATTTTAATAATTTTTTCTCTGTGGTCTAGTAACTAGCTGCCAGCAGACAAGTCTTGTTTAAAAACGATAAAACTTTAGTGGAAAAGTGATATGATACTGCTTAATATATTCGAAATAGTTGGTATAAATTCGGGTTTGACAATTAACGCGATCTATGTTTACGTAACAAGGTTCAGTATTACAACTAATGATTTGGAGTTCACAGGCCATTTATTAGGTGAAAATGTTCTGACACTACTCAGTCTCAAGATAGAGACCTTAAAAAAATTGTTTACAGGTTAACAATTCATCGACTGCTATTTCACATTTCCGACGTAAAAATGGGGAATAAACCTTAGACAGTATTAATACAACTTTGATTTTATGATACTATTGGATGGGTAAATCAAGTGTTTAATTGGTTAAACACTTAATATTTTGAGGATAAACTAAACCAAAACTGGAAAGGTTGAAGCTCTACTAAATTAAATGGTGAAATCATGTGAATGTTATAACATAATTTATACCGATTCCGGAATTCGTCGATCGTGAATTAAAATATTTTATACTAAATGAAACTTACTGGTTTGTTCGGATTGTTTAGTTTCTTGGTTGTCTGTCATGCCAGTGTTCGTTTCACCTTCCTTTGTTATGTCTGTATCTTCAACTTTCTTCTCCTTCGGTTTCACCGCCTGTCTCGGCAATCTGACCATCTCCTTTGGCTTCTTTGTAATTTTGTTTGGAACCCTTCCTCTAGAAGGAGCAGGACTTCTCTCAAAGCTCTTCGATCTTCTTACAGGCTCATCCTTAACTTTCAGGTTCAACAATGGTTTCTTGGATACCTTAGAGACCTCTTTCGTTTCACTTTTCTCCGTTCCTTTTTCACTTTTACCTGTTCCTTTAGCAAAACCTCTTGCGTTTTCTACTGCATGAGCAATAAAATATCCTTGACTGTCTCCTTTCCCAAAGGTTACAATGATATCTTCAGGGTCATGCCCAGGATCAGGTAAAACTGATTCGTCTTTTTCGTCCTGGCTAGGATCTTTATCTCTACTTTTGCTTCTTGACATTGATCTAACTTTCCTTTCCCTGCTTTTACTCTTATATGTTTTTGGGTTTCTTTCTCGGCTTGTACTCCTCTTTTCTGCTCCGACATATCTTCCCACACTCTTGCTTCTTCCTGCCTCTCCAATTTTCTTGACTCTACTTCTACTCCTTTCTGAAACTCCTACATTTGCAGATTTACTAGGAATAGGTGGAGTGGCATTTTTCTCTGTTACACTTTCTTCACTTTGTTTAACTTCTGTGTTCGGAATTTCATCTTTATTAACTAAAGATTGTTCTTTAATGGCACTTGCTATATTCTCTTCTTCGCCAAACAGTTGATCAAATTCCTCATCCTTGTCAAATTTTCTGTCTTGTTTTTCTGGTTTTCTTTCTTTCTCCATTTCCATTTCCTTCGTGCAACTACGAGAACCAAATCCGCTTCCATTATTAATTTTAATTTTAAACTCCTCGCCAAAAACTTTGATAATTTCTTCTTCAGGTTCGTCAAACAAGTATTTAGAATATCCACGGTCATCAAACTCACCGAATATATTCCTTATACTATCATCATCCTTATAATCATCAGATTTTTCAGTAACATCCGCCAAACTTGGTTCGTCTTTCTTCTCATCATCTTCTTCTTTCTTCTCATCCGCACCACGTTTGTCCTCTTCTTTCTTCTCCATAGTATCTTCTTCACGGGTAAGAACTACGTGCCTAACACCTCGAAGATATTATAGAGACTGACCACGATGGACGAAAGAATAGCGGTGTGATTTATAAAGGGAATTATTTATTTTCCCCCACCCTATATATCCAGCTCACCGGAAAGGCGGGGCCGGTCCCTTTAATACAGTTAAAGGCCCGGGCAACGCGAGCTTTTATACTAAATCATGCGGCGGGTTAAAAGTGCTGCCTCTGGTCAGTGTAAGAATACAAATTACGTCGCGTAACACGTGATCGAACACAGTCTGACATGGAACAAAAACACTTTGTTTACCTCGTGACGTCAGACTCGGTGCAACTCATAAATCTGGAGGCTATAAATAAAAATAACTTATTCCCTATAAGGGAAATTCGCTAAAAGGCTATGTTCTAAGAATTGCTGTATTTTGACAAGTTAGTTACGTTATGGATTACTGATATATTGAGTTTGTAGATTTAAATTGAAGACTGGAATTGTTATACAGTAATGGATATCTTTTGAAAGAATCAAATCCAAATGGGTGGTCTCAACCATTCATTTTAAATTTCAGTTTATTAAATACCACCCTGGGTTTATTGACAAAGTAAAATGATTATAACATAGATACGACGGTGCTGGTTTCTTACAAATATATTTAGTTAACATTATGTGGACTCAACAGTGTATACACAAAAGAGAGTTATATAGTTTATCTATTAAGAACCCGCAATTTTAAATTGCGTTCAATGTATAATTATGTTGTTTAGTTTATAATTTAATTCCAACATCAATATCAATAATGTAAACTCAAATTAAATACAACAACTTTATAGGCTATAGTCTAATATTTAGACTACTTAAGTTAAAAAGTTTCATCTTAAATAAAGCAAGAAAAGCCAAAGGTTAGGTGAAGGCATAACGCATATTCAGACACTTCAGAACAAGAAATTTAAATTTTCCCACGGCTCATGAAATAACCTGGCTACGTAACTTGTGATCTTTAAATAAATCAACAAAACTTAAGAAAAGGTTTCTCTCTGTGTAATGTAATGTTATGTAATGTAAACAAAACTTTGATAAAAACTTTGCCTACAGATGTTTGTCATACCATTAAATGTAAATAAAACGCAAGGATAGATAGCTTATCATCCTAAAAAGGGGTTGTAGGAAAACAATTTTAACTTCTGATCTATAAGTATAAAAGAGGATGTTCGTATATATATATATATATATTTGTTTGGCAGTGATAAACTCAGACACCGCTGAACCGATTGCCACAAAACTTGGTACATACGTGTAGAATTTCATGGAACAGGTTTATACACCATCAATTTCGTGATCCGTCCAATCGGCTCCGCCCCAGTGGCTTTGGAGTTTCCCATGTTAACCTTATGAGAAATTGAATTAATGAATCTTAACAGCTGTTTCAATTAAACAAGTTGGTTCTGTTCTATGATGTTCAATAGCATTAAAGTTACAAGGATTACCAACAGGGTGCAGCACTATTATTTCTTTTACATTTATGACAACAGCTAATTTGCAACCAAAAGGTGAGTGAGCGTAGCGATCGAACTTCAACCTGGAGGCAAGTTAGCGTAGCGAACGAGCTAACCTGAAGGCAAGTGAGCGTAGCGAACGAACTTCAACCTGGAGGCAAGTTAGCGTAGCGAACGAGCTAACCTGAAGGCAAGTGAGCGTAGCGAACGAGCTAACCTGATGGCAAGTGAGCGCAGCGAACGAGCTCCAACCTAAAGGTGAGTGAGCGTAGCGAACGAGCTCCAACCTAAAGGTGAGTGAGCGTAGCGAACGAACATCAACCACGACGTGATTGAGCCATGCGAACGAGATCATTTTGAAAATTAAGAAGTTAAACGGGGCAAAGCCCGCGGGTTACAGCTAGTTATTCTATAAATTAAAAGTCACTATTAACGTACTAATGTGCTCTATTCAAAACTTTTTGGATTGAAATTCCTAAAATTTGTTTCTGTGAACATTTATCTCCATCAATGTTCTGTTAGCTTTGTAAAATTTTCAAGCAATTATTCCCAGTGTCTTGAATGGTATTTAATATAAGAAGCAGCTGATATTAAAACAAGTTGCTTTACCCGAGCTTTGCTGTGGCGTAAAAATACAGAAGAGAATATTGCGGGTCCTTAAAATCTAATGTAAAAAACAGTTACACGACCACTATCGATTGTAAAGACAAAGCTAAGTCCTACTTAATGCTTATTTAATGAGGATTTTTTACTGTTAATGTATTTGCAATGAGCTGTGTGGCCATATCAAAACTAATAACTTTATCGTAGTTTAAACATAGAAAATATTTAATAGGAATAAAGAAATAAACTCAGGAAAAAGTAATAAAAAAATTATAAATGAAAGCAAACACAACAACCGATGCATATTCAGTATTATATGTGACTAAACACAACCCTTTAATTAAGGTTCGTGCACAAGAAAAGGAGGGTTACCGAAAAACAAATACTTCAGGAAGTTTCTCGTCAAGACCTATGATTATTCAAGTATGCAGTTGATAGGTGTGCTGCTTACGGTTTTCTTAAAAATGTGGGTTCCTTATCAACTTTATAGATGGTACTATTACATCAATTTAAAATGTAGTAAAAATGAAATCTTTAATCCCAGAAAAACCCTTTTTAAACTAACACCTGCCACAAAAAGAACTTAAATATTATTGATATTATATACATCAGGAATCACAGTGAGCATATTACAGTAATATGCTTCATCGGAGGGTTTTAACTTTAATCTCTCTAAAGACTCATGTTCTTTATAAAATAAGTAGGAAAATATTTTGTTATACCTATATCTTTTTTTATATATTTTATATATATAATCTTTTTTTATCTAATATATAAAATTCTCGTGTCACAGTGTTTGTCTGCAAACTCCTACGGAACGACTTCACCGATCGTTATGAAATTTGGTGTGTAAATTCTGTAGGTATGCGAATCGGACGTAAACTATTTCCCGTTTCGAAATTCTTAAAAGGGCTCCGCCCCAGTGGCTCTGGAGTTTCCCATGTTAACCTTATGAGAAATGGAATTAACTAATCTTAACAGCTGTTTCAATTAAACAAGTTGGTTCTGTTCTATGATGTTCAATAGCATTAAAGTTACAAGAATTACCAACAGGGTGCAGCACTATTATTTCTTTTACATTTATGACAACAGCTAATTTGCAACCAAAAGGTGAGTGAGCGTAGCGAACGAACTTCAACCTGGAGGCGAGTTAGCGTAGCGAACGAGCTAACCTGAAGGCAAGTGAGCGCAGCGAACGAGCTCCAACCTAAAGGTGAGTGAGCGTAGCGAACGAGCTCCAACCCAAAGGTGAGTGAGCGTAGCGAACGAACTTCAACCAGGACGTGATTGAACGATGCGAACGAGATCATCTTGAAAATTAAACGTAACGGTACTTTCTTTCCATCTGTCTGTCTTAGGGGAAACCTATAACTTAGGCGATACGAAGTTCGCCGGGTCAGCTAGTATTTATATATATATAGCGAGGCCCATAAAACTTATTTGATAAACATGTGATTGGTATCGTATTAGTACCATCAACTAAACTAATGCATACCTGTTGCTCGAAATCGATTATGATTTGCCAAGGAACTAAAATAATTACGACCCTTATCCCATAGTGATCATTTAGCCAATAAACTAGTAGGCATCCTATTTTGAATTTATGATTATGCTTTAATTCAAGGCTTAATTGTGGATTAAGGATTTTAACTTTGTCACTGCATCAATACGTTAACAACTGAAAAAGTTCCATCCATAAAAATATTATTGTGAGTTAAACAATTGTAAAAAGTATAAAATTAAAAAGTCATCGGATTTTCAGTTGGATTTCGATTAAGGTAAAGAACATTTCCATAAAAATACTAAAATCTGCTTATAGTAAGTTTGTGTGTCCAATAATCATACAAATAATATCATACGAGGACCCGTGCGCAAACTGTGTATTTTAATAGAGTTAAAAGTCTCCGAGGCATAAAGAATAATGCAAGACTCTTTTACCTTTCAAACATAACGTCAAAGTAGAAAATTAATATCCAAGAAACAATCATGACAAAATTAATATAATCTGAATGTTCTTAAGAGGCAAATATACCTATTAAATAAATAAAACTACTCATTTACAATATTTAAAAGAGTATAATAAATTTACGTACCTATATTATGTTTCAACCGTCAAAAAAATTAGCCTTGACATTTATTTTCGATGAACTGTTTTGTTTCTTGTTTACAATTGCAGTGGTCAAACATTTCAACTGAAGGATCAGCTGTTAAATTAATTCAAATTTAAACCATAAAGAAAGTTGGTCAGCATCACTGGATCTTTGAAAGGGAACTCTAGAAATAAGTTATACGCTAAGGGGAAAGAAAATTACCTTTTTGGACACAATACGTCACTTAGCTAGATCATAAGCACTTAAAAATCGGGTTAGTATTACAGCTGAAAAAGGGATGCTATACATAAAATCTTTATTGTAAGTACATAGATGTATCTCTTACCCTTCTTCTCGTCATCCTTAGATCCACCGCTTCCCTGAGAAGTTTTGTCGTCATTGTTTCCTTTCCCGACGCCTTTTTTACCGGCGCTAGGCAACATTGTTCATTCCGACTACCCTGAGTCGTCACTCATTTTGGTCCAAAACACGCACTGGAAACTCTTATACACATATTTGTAACGTAAATGTATTTAACACAATTAACATCTCAACAGAAGTAGCTGCACACTCATTAACAGCACTGTCCTCCAACCCCCCATGATTTGAAACTGATGAGTAATAAACGTTTTGGATGGTTAGTAAACTTTTCTATTTTATATATTTCCTCACCTCACTCAAGTTTTGTATAGACTACAGTACTCTCGATAGGGGGTATTTCTAATCAGACACGTGACTATAGGTGAAGTGAAGGGATCGAGGGAGAAACTAAGGTTCCGCTCCAGTTGGGCTACGGTACTTTGTTGAGGGGGTTAGGGGAGGGAATTTGCATGCTTCGACCAAATACAGATTTCCCCCAATGGCGCGCGTCCTGACTTAGGGGGAGGGGGTGGCAAGGAACGGTTACTTTCTTACCTTGTAATGTACCTACTGGGGCTGAGACCTGTCATTGATAACGGAGACCTGTTAATTTCTCCACGTTGTATTTATTCATCAATTACAATACCAATTTTTTTTATTAGATTGCTTCTCTCAGATATTTTTCTATTCCTTTCCTTTAGGGTTTGTTAGCTGTTCTGTCTGCCAAAAACGGTTTTGGTTTTCATTATTTTGGCGTGAAATGTTTCTTTGAAGGAAATTTATTGATTTCTACCTGTCTATTTTTTAAAACATAAGTGATTTATAAGATTGCAACGTTATAAAATACTCAAATATTTAAATTAAACTAAGAAACTAAGAACGAAAATACTTTTAAATGATTGGAAACATTTTTCTACCTTCTTTTTAGGTTGATATAAGAAACGACAGAATCACACTAAAATAAATGGTTTAAACTATCAAATCGATTACGTGTATGTAAACACTGTATTTATTTCCAAAGACTTGGTTGGATAAATAAAATGCTATAAAAATTGTAGAGTACTTTGAATACAATTCTAAATTGGGATTTGAATAAATGTCATTCTTTATTAAAATAGTTCTCGTAAAATGAGTTTTCACCATTATCATATCATTGCATTAGATCATAAGATTAAATCGTCTTCTATAGAAACGGCTTTTATTTACATTATTAGTTATATTTTATACACATTCAGTGCACACGAAAATATAAATAAACAACTTTTTCAAACTTCAAAGATGAATCTAAAAGCCCGAAAAGAGGTCTGTGGCTATTCCTGCCTTTTGCATGACTTTTACCCGTAAATCAACACTGAAGCTGCATATGATTACTGCAACAATACCACATACGCCAACTGTAAATCTATTGTTTGTGTCTAGCTTACATCTATATTTTACATAGGCATTTTCCAATTGAAATTTTAAATCGATTCTGTTTTAACAAAGTAGTTCAATATCATTTGGCAACCATGATGATGAGAAGAGATGTTCCTTTTTACTTTGAAATTGGTTAACCCAACTAGTTTTCATTGAACGAATTGGAACCGATCTTACTGCATGCTAAATATTAAGCAAGACATTAAATTGCCTCATATAGTTTATAATTAGTATGGATTTGTAAGATTCGAGGGTTTTTTATTAGCAGTGACAAAAACATAAGCAGTGTAAAACGTCACAATAAAAGTTAACCCCTGTAAACATATGGTTATTACGTCACTTATTACCTATTGTTATGTTTTACGGTAACTACAGGAAAATTCACCGTGCAATTCATGTGCGAATTATTTTTACTGCACTCGAGAAAATAACGTAAACGTGTCTGAACATAAAAACTATTTCCGAGCTTGGGGTAAATCTTAAAATGCCACCGACATATTGCGCTAGATATAAATGGCTGATTTCTGTCGGAATATGATGTTTTTTTAACAAGCTTAACTGAGTCAACTCATTGTGAAATAGCATATTTTATGTCATATTAATAAAACATAAGTTAGAAAACAGAAGGAATTTCAAGGGAACTATTAACCATTTTTAAATAAGAAATTGTAATAGCTGGTTAATACAAATGGGCCGTCTTCTTCAGATTCTCGCCCGTGAAAATCACAGGTACTCTGGTAGTACAAAATAAAATATTGACACAGCTCTAAACCTAGAACATACAGTAATGTAGCCTATACCCTTTCCAGATGTATCGTAGGGTCAAATATCTACTTCATAAAAATATCTATTGAACAAAACCCCTCTCATTACGTCCTTATGCCACCAATTGAACTGCCCAGACAATCTGGCCTTGATATTTATAAATGTCTAAAGGTTCACCAGTGATGTTGCACTCTCCTACTTCCACAACCCGGGCAATGAGCCTCTCCACTACCTGACCATTGGCCAGCTGGCCAGTACAGCGGCCACACGATGGCCAGACAATGTGGCCTTCATATCAGTTCTGGACGAGGCCAGATTCACCTTCAGAGACATAGATGAACAGGTACTTGATTTATCTCTTATGTTGACTCGTTTATTTTGATTTCATTCCAAATTTTGAAGGGTTTTGCTGGTCTTGAATTTGGTGTGGGAGGTGCGCGTTCAATCCCTGTCACATCTAAAAACTATTAGTGGGTTGATTTGCTTTCCTTTAAAATATTTTGAGATGCTTTCATGATAATTTCCAATGATAGAGATACTATAGTGTGTTGTGTACAAATGTATGTATATCTCCTAACCTTTTATTTAACATGTGTACTGGCCCAATTGTGGCCCGGACTACTCCCAGGTAGACGGAGTGTCAGGAAACAGGTTTCTTCATACAGACTATAGAGCTTTTCTGTATTATCTTAGTATCCATTTTACAGCTCGTGAATGCGTGTCTGTAATTATTTTGTTGAAATAAAAGGGAAGAAGCGATGGTTTAGTAAATTCTGTATCAATTTGTAAATTGGTGAAACAACAATCAACCGTAAACATCAAAACGCACACATGCTGTAGACTGTAGAGAAATATTATTTAAAATTGTTTCTTATCTATTAGGATGACAAGTCTATAACAGTGTGTTCAATCTATGGTTTCAATGACAGGCTCTCAAGTTGGCAGCAGGGTTGCTGGACCTTGGGCTAATGCCTGGAGACAGGGTCGGACTCTGCAGTCCCAACTGTTATGAATGGCTAGTGACATTGGTAGCGACTGCTAAGGCTGGCCTGATTATGGTAAGTGACAATAAACTTGTTTGAATCAATAATTGTTGTAAAAATACGATAAAGTCCATTTATTTGTGTCGACAGTAAATACATGAACAGTTTCATTCTGTCGAATATTTGTCATCAAGAAATGACTATGTCGTTGAATTACTGAACTTGTCGTCTTCCGAAGACATACTTTGCTTTTACTTATATCAATATAAGATATTGTATTACCACCCCATAAATACAGCCTCAAAGCTGCAAGATTTATTGGTTATGACGTATCATGTACTGTAGATATATAACACTTATACATCGTCATATTCGAATAATAAATGACAAATTTGTTCATTTCAATGTTAAGCACTATAGTATCAATTTCACTAATCATATCATACTCGAATGCTTGCATATCGTGGGATTATCTGGATATTTAAGTGAGCCTAAAAATATACATGTATAATATATGTGCATACTAATATAATATGTATTAATAGGTGGCAGCCCTCAAACATGTAAATTTATAATACTATAATAGTAATAGTAGCTATATAATTGTAAAAACAACAATACAATGGGCGTTTTACTAGTATGATCGTCGAAAAACAAGTAGCAAATCAGTAAATACAAGTTAACATCATTCTGCTAAATTAAAACATATAGTAATTAATTTTTTTTTCTAAAAAAACAAAGTAGGCCTAAAGAAGTTACAGTTTATCAATTTTTCAAACCATAAACAAGAGATAAAAATTTGTTAATTAGGTAAGGAGTATAAAAACGTAAATAAATGGACAGTGACAATGCTGCCAAAACTTATCTCAATTAAATACTGAGTTAAGTACAGTGGTCGGTTTTAATGACACTTTTAGGTGGTAAAATATGTTTGGTATAAATTAATACTGTAAATACAAAAATCTCTCTAAGGCGTTACCGAACTTGCCTTAAAGTCTTTTTCATTTGGATGGTAAATCTAGAAAGGATTGTTTAAAGTTAAACCTCCTTGCGGTTCAACTGTTCAAGTTACTAGAGCACTGAGTTTTCAGGTTCAAATCCCTCCATTCGCCAATAGTGTTTTAACAATATTGTTTTCAGCCACCGTAAACTGTAGGTTTTCACTTCAAGTGAACAAAAAATAGGTTTCTGAGAACTTTCTCTTTGGACTATAAGACAACTCAATCAACCTAAAGCCATAAGATAATAAACCAAATTACCCTCACAGGTGTCTATGAACCCTTCATACATGGCACATGAGATTGAGCATTGCCTAGACAAAGTTGGAATGAAGGCTATCATAGTCGACGAGAGCTACAAGACCCAGTTATATTACAAGATGTTGTGTGACATTGTACCGGGCTTGTCGACTCTGCCAGAAAACACTACTATCAGCTGCAACAAGCTGCCAGAACTGTCACATGTGATTGTACTGTCTGAAAAACACTTGCCGTAAGTACCAACACGCATTTAAAATGTAAAAGATACAAGAGGGGAACATCTGATAAAGTACAAATATACATTCAAACCAGCTAATTTCTATATTAGCACTCCATGGCAACTTAGAAGGCCACTGGGGCGAAGTCCTTACCACTTATTGAGCTAATTTTCGAGGTTGCACAACTTCAGAGTGAACTCTTTAAAATTACACCAAAAACGTCCAAATCGGTTAACAACTGTTGGAGGAGTTTTGTTCATAAAATAATCCCTTCCAAATTAATTATGTAAAGATCAATAAGTAAATCAATCAAGGAGAAACTTGGGAAATTGGTATTCAAACATACACGTATATTACCCATCATACAGCTGAATGAAAAGTATTAGCTGTATTTTTTAAACAAAGTATTTCAACGGTCATTCAATTTTTCACTGATCCTCATTTATGTTCAATATCAGTAGTACAACAGTTTTCTATAAGTATAAAACATAGGCTTAGGAAAGTTATTTGTGTTAACAATCAATGAACCAATCGTATACATCTTTTTTGTCAAACAATACACCAGCAGTGTGCAATTAATTCGGAGGTTTAAAGAGTTATGATAAAAATGTATATCGGAATTCAAAGGAGATAATTTTTTTTCTAGTTGCACATAACTTTTATGTATCAATATTTTCCCCATTGGCTGGCCAACCATATTGAAAAAAAACATATTACAAATTACTATCATCAACTTTGTCACTTATTACTTGTATGTTACAGGGGATCTTACAGGTTTTGCGATATCCTAGAACGAACCACCAACTACCACAGAGTTCTACAACTACAGGCCAAACTGAGGCCTGAGGACATAGTTGTCATACAGTTCACCTCTGTAAGAGTCAAGTGAAATATGAATAAATAGATTTAAGAGGATAAAGAGATGGAGTTAGTGGCATACACATTATAAAAGAAAATTATATCATCTTGTTACTGTTTTGTAAATAGAAGTACATGTTTTGGTGTGTTGATGAATACCGATGACTAAAATAAGATAAGGCTTTTATTTTCTCTTTGGTAAAACCCCCAAAGAGCGAGCAAGGATAAAGATTGGCTTATATGGTGGAAATAGTTTTTTATTTTATTTTTTTTTTATAGGCTATATTTGGTTAAATAACAATAAACGAACATTATTCAATGTATTCACACACTAGTGTTTCGCTCAACACAATACTTAAAAACAAATTTTACAAGCCTTACCTTTGTACACAAAAATACGGAATATGCTACGTAAATGTGCTAGAACATCTTAAATCCTTTTCAATAGTGCGAAAATAGTTATTTGTGCAACTAGTGAGAAAAGTGAGCAATTTACTCACTCGAGAGAAATCCTTACTCACGAGCCGTAGGCGAGTGAGGAATGGTTTCTCGAGTGAGGCAATTATACTTTGAACTCGAGTTGCACATTATACTTTTCCTACAGTTACCATAAAACAAATAAATTAGTGAAGAAACATAACCTATTTTTACACAGAAGTGAACTTTTAATATAACATTTAACGTGAAGTGACCACTGAGCTATATAATAACTGGAGTAACCACTCTGTGTTTTAAACGTAAATTTTAAACTGTGCAAAACGTACCACTGTTTTTGCTGGTTTTGTTTCAGAGTTTCGTTTTGTAAGGTTGGCCGGGTGATCGGGTTGGTGGGACTTGTCAAATTAAAGGCAAGATCAAGATGGCGTCATTCTGTTTTGTTGATACAGTAGTAAACAAAACTCTGTCAACTCAACATTATGATTAAAATATAAGTTTATTTATTTATTTTACGAGCAAGAGCAACCCATTTTAACAAGATCATAAACCGATAGTCGTTATTTAATCAAATGCCATAGGGCTATTGGCCTAAACCAATATCTCCAAATAGCTTGAAAAGAGGTAAATAAGTTAGTATTTATTTACTATCAAACAAAAACAATATATAATGTTTCAAATAACTTTAAATACAGAGGTTTTAACGTGCAATAACTTAAATAAGTTGTTGATACAAGTCCTTGAAATAACATAACCCCAAATTGCAAATAAATAGTATGGTTATGTTAGAATGAATTGGAATTGTTTTACAGCATCCCACCAACCGATCACACGGCCAACCTAACAACACGAAACACCAAAAACAAACCAGCCAAAACTGTGGCACGTTTTTCTCCAACGTTTAACCAGAGAGTAGTGACTCCAGTTATAATCTATATCTCAATGGAAGTGACAAATACAACAGTACAACAGCTGACCAGCTGATTTACAGCCAGTGCTGCCAACGTATTTCGCGCGCATACGACGTTGCCTGCATGTTACGCGCTCACTATTTAGTGCCTTCACGTTGCAAATCTGGAGTGAGACAAAGTAATTAGAGTGGTCTCACTGATGAGCGAATTGGCCACTTTGCTTTCTCAAATCAGTGAGAGAACATGTACATTGTTAGGTAACTGTAGGAAAAATATATTTATCAGCCAATTATTTATCATATAATTGAATACAGCTAAATTCTGCATTAATTTCATTTTGGTCGTAAACCTTTAAGGGTTTAAAAGGATCAAAGAATGTTGTTAAGGAATACGTATAAAGTAATTGTTTTCAACCAGATTTTTTTATAAAAGATCATTTAATTCAAGTATTTAAGGGGTTTAAGCAATATTAGATATGTAAGCTAGTACAACTTGTTTCAGGGAACGACCGCTTCACCCAAAGCTGTACCGTTGTCTCATTTTTCGTTAACCAACAACTCTTACTTCTACGGAAAGAGACTTGGCTTTGACAAAAAAGTAAGTATTACCATAGACTAACCGTTTTATCTATGGTATTACCGAGACCGTATGTGGCCTAATGGAGGATCTTCGTTACACACAGTCACACGAAACGTGTGAATAGTTCCATTATTTGATGGGTCGTTTAAATTGTCCTGTAATGCCTGGAATAGGACGAATTATTGTTGTGAATTGTGATACATTTGTTTTTCAAAAGATTGCTCCTTGGCTGTGAATTAAGTGGCTAAACTGTGTCATAATGCGTATTTGTGGTGTGGTGGGAGACCGGGTACAGTTTCTTAACTAGGCTATCCTAATATCAATCGAAAATTAATATCAATTCGATTACTAAACCTTCATTAATATTTTCATAATCAGCAAGTTTGGTTAGGTTAGGTTATAACAGTTTCATATTATCCCTAAAACAAATTTTGCTCATCCCCCCTGGTCGATCTTTCCACCCCCATACCCGCCGCACCGTGGAACCGGTCACTGATACTTGGCCGGCACTCGCCATGGCTGTAAAATGACCCGGGGTCGCCGGATTTCTACCCCCGGATATTTACCCCCATGAAAAAACGCCTACGTCACTTTGACGTCACATGTATGGGGGTATATTTCCGGCCGTGAACTTTTAGGATGGATAAATTATTATTTATTCAATCAACTCGCATTTCACGGCTAACTTAACAGTTGTAATTAATCAAAATGCTAATAAACCTGACACCGGAACTTTACCCCCGGAAATCTACCCCCAGACATCTACCCCCGGACATCTACCCCCGGACATTTACCCCCAGACATCTACCCCCGGAAATCTACCCCCGGAAATCTACCCCCCGTGCTACACTACGTATCGGCCAATATTCATTGTTGTAGTTGATTTTAGTAATTGGTGTATACAAATAGTCAATGGCTCTTCGTTTAATAATTACCCTCTAATATCTAGTATTAAGCATGTGATGTGTCGTTGTCTTGTTTAATGTCATCTATCTTCCCAATTCATTAAGCTGTAACTGATTTAGGTGTCATTTTTAAGTTTAAGATTCAGTGCAACGCAAATGGTAATTAAAAGGGATATTTTGATAAAGGGCTTCAAAAGTTTAACCCATAAGCATTTGATTTATTTTCAGACAGTGATTTAAATGGTTGAACAATTTTCACATACGGTACACTAATAGCTAACGGCACATGTACGAGCGCAGATCGTGAAATCTAAAACATGTCACTGAAGGAGGTTATTTTCTGATTACTAGTGGTAAAAAATGCAATTAAATGTTGATAAAATGCCTGCCACAGGTTGATTAATGAATTAATATTTTTTTCCATTATCAATTACCTTCTAGTAATACGAAATAGCATAATCCCTATGTCGTAGACACTATCCGGAGTTTTACATTGGCCAAAAAGTCTAGTTGTTTACACAAATAATTAATTGTAAAAAATAAAACATAAACATATTTTATGATTGGTTCTGGTTGTCAATGCTGGTTGTGAAATAACGGAGAATAATGTAAAGAATAAAATTTGATATTTCGGGATAGGGAAGGTATTTTTACCTCATGGTTCTTTTGGGTTTACGAATTTATTTAAATGAAATTAGAGTTTAGTATGAACATTGCTCAAAATTATATATTTTTTGGTCAGTTTTACGTTTCATACATTAAAGAAGCCAAAACAAGTCTTTATCTCAATTTCTGTCTTGTCTGTCAAGGCCCAGAAGGCATTTTACGTGGCCTTCTTATCAAAAACTAGAGCATCGATCGTGATTAGATTTAAATAGCCTTTTGGATTCGGTGGATTGACACGAGTGTCTTAAGCCATTAAAATATGGCCTCACTACTTTTGAATTAAAAAATTTTGTTCAAACCCCCAATTTTTTGCATTTTTGTCAAGTTTACTCCTAATGTTTACCAGTAATTTATGAAATACTAATAATTTGTTTGGAGAATACGACATCTATGAAATAACGAACAGCTGTGAGAGATGAAAAGTTGAAAAATTAAAAATGGTGAATTTTCAATCAAAAAGATAGTTTTTAACGCTTGTTTAACGTCTTTCTAAAAGAAAATTAACATGAAAGGCTTAGGGGTCAACCTTTTGAAGCCCTAATCAAAATATCCTTTTTAATTACCATTTTGCTCTGCGCAAGATCTTAAGCTTTAAAATAACACCTAAATCGTAACAATCGGCGAAGTAGGTCGGGTGAAAAAGGACTGTTACAGCTTATTGAATTAGGAAGAGTACCTGGGGACCGAGCTTTGCTCGGGGAAAATCATTAGTCCACTCTGAAAGCAGTCTTAGTACTGTATTGGAGACACATAGATCCATTCCCAAACTCCACACGGCTCGCCTTTACTACGTCCTACACCATTTCCTACGTCATGGACCTGTTTCCCTCCATTTCCATAGCACTTTAGGATTGTAGATACCTTAATCTAATCGTTATTAACAGTTCCCACACTCCGGACAGCTCGTCTTTACTACGTCCTACACCATTCCCTACGTCATTGACCTGTTTCCCTCCCTTCCCATAGCATTTCAGAATTGCAGATACCTTAATCTAATCGTCATAAACAGTTCCCACACTACGGACAGCTCGCCTTGACTACTTCCTTCGCCACTTCCTACGTCGCGGACCTGTTTTCCTCCCTTTCCATAGCATTTTTGGATTGCAAATACTTTAATCTAATCATCATAAACAGTTCCAACACTCCGGCTACTCGCCTTGACTACTTCCTTCACCACTTCCTACGTCGCGGACCTGTTTTCCTCCCTTTCCATAGCATTTTTGGATTGCAAATACCTTAATCCAATCATCATAAACAGTTCCCACGCTCCAGACAGCTCACCTTGACTACTTCCTTCACCACTTCCTACGTCGCGGACCTGTTTTCCTTTCTTCCCATAGCATTTTAGGATTGTAGAAACCTTAATCTAATCGTCATAAACAGTTCCCACACTCCGGACAGCTCGCCTTGACTACTTCCTTCACCACTTCCTACGTCACGGACCTGTTTCCCTCCCTTCCCATAGCATTTTAGGATTGCAGATACCTTTATCTAATCGTCATAAACAGTTCCCACACTCCGGACAGCTCGCTTTGACTACTTCCTTAACACCTTCCTACGTCGCAGACCTGTTTTCCTTCCTTCCCATAGCATTTTAGGATTGCAGATACCTTAATCTAATCGTCATAAACAGTTCCCACACTCCGGACTACTCGCCTTGACTACTTCCTTCACCACTTCCTACGTCGCGGACCTGTTTCCCTCCCTTCCCATAGCATTTTAGGATTGCAGATACCCTGATCTTATCGTAATAAACAGTCCCCACACTCCGGATTGCTCGCCTTTACTACTTCCTTCATCACTTCCTACGTCACGGACCTGTTTCCCTCCCTTCCCATAGCATTTTAGGATTGCTCATACCCTTATCCAATCATCATAAACAGTTCCCACACTCCGGACAGCTTGCCTTGACTACTTCCTTAACACCTTCCTTCATCACGGACCTGTTTACCTCCCTTCCCATAGCATTTTAGGATTGCCCATACCCTTATCTAATCGTCATGAACAGTTCCCACGCTCCGGACTACTCGCCTTGACTACTTCCTTCACCATTTCCTACGTCACGGACCTGTTTCCCTCCCTTCCCATAGCATTTTAGGATTGCCCATACCCTTATCTAATCGTCATAAACAGTTCCCACACTCCGGACTGCTCGCCTTGACTACTTCCTTCACCACTTCCTACGTCACGGACCTGTTTCCCTCCCTTCCCATAGCATTTTAGGATTGCCCATACCCTTATCTAATCGTCATAAACAGATCCCAGACTTCTCACTGCTACCCTTGACTACAATGTATCGAGTAATATTCAGTATAATCTTTGCTAAATGATGTTTTTCCTTTTGTACTGTATTTGTAATTTGCTAGTATACTGTGGGTAGTTGGCTTATTATGAACACATGCTACAACTTCAAGTCTTTTGTTTACTTTTTCCTTGTTATTTAATTCAGCCAACAAGGTTACCTAGCAACCCATAAGACTAATGTTAAAAAAATGTGATTTTCAGTTTCATTTTTCTACGTAATTAGATTTTTGTTGGCAGTTCTAACTGCAGTAAACTCGTTTTTAGGCCAGAATTAAACGATTTACAACATTTGAAGAAAATCGTCGGAACCGTTTTCGAGATCTTTGTGCAAGCAAGCATACATACATACAAGCAAACATTGCTCGTATTAGAGTATAGGATAGATAATGTTAAACAAGACAATGACATATCGCATGCTTTATACTGGATATTATAAGACAATGATTAACCGAAGAGCCGTTGATTTCCGAGGGTAGAATTCCGGGGTCAGATATTTATGATTTAAACACTGGGGGTAGATGTCCGGGGGTAGATGTCTAGGAGTAGATATCCGGGGGTAGATGTCCGGGGTAGATATCCGGGGGTAAATGTCTAGGGGCAGATATCCGGGAGTAAATGTCCGGGGGTGGATTTCTGGGGGTAGATGTCCGGGGGTAGATTTCCATGCTATGGCAACAATTACATCACTTTATAATCAAACAATTAAATGTTGATTATTTAATAATATATTGGGGGTAAATTTCCAGTCGCGGGCCGTGAATTTTTCTCGACCGTGTTTAGGCCCCGCCCCTCGTGACGTCAAAATGACGTAGGCGTTTTTTCATGGGGGTAAATATCCGGGGGTAGAAATCCGCTACCCCCGTCAAAGTGTTTAGGCAAACGGCACTCTGCCCTGCACTCCTTTTTGCTATAGAGGCTTTAAAAACAGCGTAAAAATTATATATTTTGAATGACCCATTTGATATTGGTCGTTCACACAGTATTCAATTACACATTACAATACGTTTTAAATCATTATACTTAGCCTAATAGTAGTAAAATTTGCATTACCAGAGAAAACTATTCTTGGTTTAGGGATCAAGATATCAAGTCTATTATGTTAAGGAGCAAGCGCTTATGTGTAACGGATCGGCGGTTTATGTGGATGATATCGTTTTACTCGCTATTGTGTCTATTGCATCCAAGTCATTTTAGTTTTTTTAAGCAAACTTTTGTATTTATGCCTAAGAAGTCAAGCAGCTGAGATGACCTGCCCTAAATTCCTGTCTCAAATAAAGTAATTTTCAAATATCTCATTCAATTAAAAATAGTACAAACAAATACCCAACTAATTAATTATAGAATGTAACACTCGGATTATTTGGGGTGCTTAATGAACCAAGCTCTATTATTTAATCACTCAAAAACTACTTCAAACAGACTTTTATTTGAAAAAAAATTTTCTTTATGCTCAAAAATTATTATGATGACCTAAATAAATACACCCCCTCCCCACATCCTATTGTTCCTTTTTTTCTTCGTTAGCCACCAAGCCACCATCTTAATTACTTATTAGGATTCCTATCATCACATCTAGACGATGGGCTTCCACGGTCACAGCAGATTGTCAATAATTTAGGTCTTCGGGTGATGGCCACTTACTGAATAGTGGTTAGCCAACCACTATCATAACTGGAGAACGTCTATGAAAATTGATAGATGTTACTCATCCGAAACGTCGGCCTCTGGTCTTGCTCATTCAACTACTGTATGCGATCATCACCCGAAGACCTAGATTTGATATTCTTATTACAATTAACTTACCAGTTGTAGTTATTCTCAGCCCTTTTCTTGCAGCACTTCAAGATCCTTGCTCAGTCGCCGTTCTTCCATGTCCTAGGGTTTGTCGGAGCGATGTTACCAAGCCTCATCTTCGGCGTTACTCTGGTACTTCCATCCAGGACCTTCAGTGTTGCCAACTCTGCCGAAACCATCAAAAAGGAAAAGTAAATAATGGAACACTGATTATATAAGCATAAATAGAGTATTTGAAAGGGTTTCTATTCATTAGATAAAAAACTCTTTAGAAGTTGTTTATTATTTTAGCCAGAAGAATTCGTCGACCTATTAATCTTCGATTTACAGCAGACATACTTATCTTCAGAAAACGACATATTAGAAAATATATTTTTGTAGACTGTTATTTAGTCCCATTTAGGCTGCAGTAATCTTAATGGGAAACTTTCTAGAAAGAGTCAATTAAGTAGCTGAGACATTTTCAAATAAAAACACAAATAGATGTCTGAACTTCTTCTTTAGATGCACGATGCTGATAGGGACTCCCACCATGTTCCTAGACCTGTGTGGCTATGTGGAACGTATCCCGGTGGAGGAGAGGAGTCAGTATATCTCCCCAGAACTCGTCCTGTGTGGGGGAGCTATCTGCTCATCGGAACTGGTGCGGAAGATCAAAAACATATTCAACGCCAAAGTCCAGGTTAGAAATCTTCTGCAATGTGTGTAGTCTCCTGATTTACCGAAAAATAGTATAAAGTACCTATTTCAGTGCAAGTATTTGGGGAAGCGAGCTGGTATAGTGGTGGAGCGCGAAACTTCGACCCCGAGGTCCTGAGTTCAAATCCCGCTTGTCACTAATGTGCTTCAAGTTGGTTAGTTTATAAAACGTTTCCGGGCTAAGGAGTAGTGTCATCGAATGTAAAGGTGGGATGTAAACAAGTACCTGTATCGGTTATCCAGCATAGTTTATGTGGCAACTATAGACTCGGTTCATATGTCATTAAATGTTGTCTCCACCCAAATGCCCGTCAAATATTGTTGTGATTTGGTTGCATTGAAGTTTTATCGTGTAATTTGTTAACAATTTATTATTAACAATAGAGCATGGAAAAGAAGCAGTGCTCATAGAACGTTAGAACACAACTACTAACACCTCTCTGTTAAATGTAAAAGATTAAATCAAAACCAAGTTACGAACATTTATGATTCGTTTGAAATATAATTTTACAACATAATGTGCCATTTCCATATTTAGATTTTGTTTTTGGTAAATATTATTTACAATTTTACCATGTTTTACAGTCTGCATACGGCCTTACTGAAGCAACAGGAGCTGTAGCTCAATCAACCCTTGAAGACAACGAAGACCAAATCACTAAAACTGTGGGCAAGGTTTCAGACCATATGGAGGTTGGTGATATATAATCGTATGTAAAAGTTTAAAATAAATATTATTCCGAGTGTCATTCAATGTGAAGGTGTTTGTCTAATGGTTAGAACACGAATCTTCTGTTTTGGGATTTGGTCTAAATTCCTCCAATTTCCAACTGTTGTTAGCTAACGTCTCGGAAGAATGCTCCGAGAGTTTGATGCCAAACAGCTGTATGGACCAACCTTCTAGAATGGACTGGTCTTTTAGTTGACAAGAAACACTTGTATTGGAGGATTCTCCACAACAATCATATACAATTATATCCAATCATATACAATCCATACAAACACATGAAACGCTTTAAATCAAATTTGTTAAATAAATATAATAATTTATTTTTTCCAGAAGGTTAAGAGTAAACAAAATTGAAGAACAGGTGGTTGTTTTATGAACTACTTAATTTTTTAGACTTTACTTTTTCAGTGCTTTTTCAAGAGTAATGAGTTTTCGCAGTTGCACATCCATCAGTCCCAGTTATTTTGAATTATTTTTTGTCAACTGTTTTTGAACTCAAAAAGTCGTCCAATCAAGTATATAAAATATAAATATTACGTACAAATACTTTGCATTTACCAAAATGTTCTTGTGTCTCCTCGCTCTTACTCCCGAATTTCCCACTGTGCTTCGAACCTCGATAACAAGTCTTTTACCTTGAAATTAATTTACCCCTAACCACATGTTATTGCAAACCTCGATAGTTAACCTTGATAACAAGTCTTGAGTATGTTTTATCTATGATAATACCTACGAGAGTATTGTTATCAAGGTTCTACTGTATTAATTTTTGACCAGGTGAAGGTGGTTGACGCTGACGGGTTCACGGTTCCCCTCGGTATGGCAGGTGAGCTCTGGATAAGATCTTACTCCAACATGACAGGTTACTGGGAGGACAAGGAGAATACCGACGAAATACTCAACCAGGATGGCTGGCTCAAATCTGGGTATACTAGAAGTAAATGTGTGTTGGTGTTAAAAGGGTTTAAGTTTGTGATTCTGGATTTCAGTCTATAGATACTGGAACCAATTACAATTATAAATATTTCTTACAAGAAATAAAAAAGCTTTTTAAAATGACAAAATACTAAAATGATAAGTAATAAATTTGGATTCATCCAAACACAATAACAAATATAAATATTGCTGACGACTACAGGCATAAATAAAACCATAGACTTTGAATAGTACATCGATACTTCTTATTTGTTAACGATCTTCAACACATTGAAATATAAAGCCGTTTTTCATGTTGCATTCTGTTAGTTGCGATGATATTAAGACTGAATATGAGTATCTTTTTTCTGAGGATTTTTACAACGTGTTATTTACACTTTGGTTAGTTATAATATACCAGAGGACAAACTAATAGCTGCGAAATTCTGTTAACATCATTTTCAGCTGCTTTAATAAAAAGAATAAAAACTTAAGTAACAAAACACCCTAAAGCCAAATTTAACGTAAGTGTGTATCCTAGGTGTGTAGCTGCGAAATTGTGTTAACATCATTTTCAGCTGGTTTAATAAAAAGAATCAAAGCTTAAGTAACAAAACACCCTAAATCCAAATTTAACATACTTTGTATCCGATTTAGTGTGTAGCCTCAACGAAAAAAGACCCTTCTTTAGGTAATTATACTAAATTTAAAATTATTACAATTAAATTTCCTACTACTGCTAGTCCTCTGGTTTTTTCAAAGAAGGTGTTACAACAGTTTTTATACGGTTATCTGATTTACAGAGACCAATTCATCATGTGGGAGAACGGGTACGGACAGGTGGTCGGTCGGATCAAGGAGATGATCATTCGAGGAGGAGAAAACATTTCTCCAAAAGAAGTGGAGGAGTATTTAGTTTCTCATCCTGACATCATAGATGCTCAGGTATTGTTGTATCTTTGATTTCAAGCATTTACTGGACCAAAATTCATATTTTTCACGATTATGGAACTTTTCCTTGGTCAGACTATTTTTAGCCTTAACGAATGGAAAAGAGCCATCTAAATTTAGTTTTGAAATATGAATAAATAATCATTACATAAGATAGTAAATAGTACGATTTCTGAAATAAGTAAGACTAATCCTTTATTTTATGACATTAAGAAAATTTGAAATATTTTCCTTGGAAAAATATCTTACAAATATTACATTTGTTAGCTACATATTCCTTACATTACTAATGAAATACTCAATTCGCACAATTTGCTTGGATATACTGATTAAAGTGGTTTAAAAAGGTCATCTTGTACAATATAAGAAAACATACACACTGTACTTTTCATAGAAATATATCAATATGAAATAGCATCCATTACCCATAGTTTTATTTTACTATTTAACTTTATAAACCATCTTATCTATTCTAAGGTGTACGGAGTGTCCAATGAGAGACTAGGAGAAGAGGTTGGATGCAGCTTGAGACTGACTCCCGGAGCTAAACTGACTGAACAAGAGGTCAAGGACTTCTGTAAAGACAAAGTGAGTAAATCTAATTGAAGCATCACGGAAAATACCCTTTTATCAACCAGTTACCCTTTTTTGTGTCTTTCAAAGATCAGTTTGTATATTAGATTTCAACTTACTACAAGATTCCTGTACGTAGAACGGGCAGACAGCTAGTTAAAACAATATTATCTTTAATATAGTTATTAGATTGATAAAACTACGAATATACAATATTTGTAGATACATTAAGAGGGATTTAACTAACTCAATCAGATTATAGTTATCTAAAAAAGAAGCCTATTTAAAACCGTTATACAGAAAGTTTGTCTGCAGCAATCTTTGAAACGCACTCTACAAATAAATTTAAGGCAAGGGGGGGGGGGGGGGGGGGTAGCCTAAGCTTAAATGACACCTTAATAATAAAAATCGGTTAAGTAGGTCGAAAAAAGTTACAGACAAATCCTTTACTTTATTCAGTAAAGACTGAAAGACTGCAATAAATTGATGAGAAATATATTATATAAAATAAAAATATTTACAATGGACTGGCTCTTAGATTTTGACAAAGCTATGATATAACAAGGTAATAATAGGTTTAAAGTAGGCCTACTAATTTCTTAATTTAATGTAACTAATCAGGTTTGACGCTGCTTGTACTTTAACATGTTTGTCGTCCTCCTTCCTAGTTAAAGGTAGTTATAATAGATTTGCTTTTACTCAATTATATTTCTAAAAATCTTGAAATTAATTCGAAATAAATTGATGTTTACTATTTAACTTACATAAACTATTTATTAATCAATGTAAAGACTGTCACCGTAGATTCAAAATGTAATTTTCGGCTTTTGATTTTAGATTGCCTACTTCAAAATACCAAAGTACTTCGAATTTTTAGAAGAGTTTCCAAAAACCGGTTCGGGCAAAGTGCAGAAGTTCAAACTTCGAGAAGAAATGGAGAAGAAACTTGGATTACGAAAGTAATGATGATGTATTTAGCTTTTATAAGCTGATTAAAAACTACAAAGAACACTACATATTGTTTTTATATTACTGAACACATTCAATATCTAACACAAAATAATTCAAGAAGGTCCGCTATATCTCACATTCCTCACACTGGCGAATTGCCTCCAAAACTCATGCAATGACAGAAAAAATATTGAAACAAACATGTGACCATTTTGCTGCCAATATAAAATAAATTGAATTCCTACTCAATTATGACTCACATTTAGGTCATTGGGAAACAGTGGAATCAGGAATCTGGCTTCAAAATCATGATTCAGATTTAGGTCATTGGGAAAGAAAAGGGGTTACTAACGTTTGTTTAACTTTTGACTGCAAACAGTTGTTTTTATCCAGACAGCATGCATTTGTTATTTATTTCAGTTTACACAAATCGTGGTTATTTGGATTGTGATATACAGTATAGTTCAACATATCACTTATCCCGAAAAATAACAAATCCCTAATATGGGTAAATGTTTTAAACCTTTAAGTGAATTTGCAGAAAGAAAGTTTCAGTGAACAGCTGGTTCGTACTTTATTGGTGATGTACATAGTCAAACTTAAGAGAAAATATGTCTATTATCATAACAATCTTGGATTTTAAAGTTTGTCATTTTATTTAAAAATAGGTCAGGCCATGCCAAAAAACCTACTCACCAATTTAGTGAATACAGGAAAGAGTTCTTAGTTCTGTATTAGGTATTCTCTTTGATTCAAAGTCGGTAGTCTATATTATATAGACTACAGACGAAATTATATTTTTATTTATGCAGATGGATAAATGCACAAATATTCCAATAGAAAATTAATTGTATGGATCATAAACATAAACAAATTACGTAACTGGTTATATTATTCAAATGGAACGGTAAACAATTTCAAAACCAGATGTTAAGGTTATTGTCATAAGATTCAGGCCAATGACGTAATTTGTTTGTGTTTATGATCCATACCGTTACTGTTCTAATATTTGTGGCTAAGTGTGTGCTACTTTACTTGAACTGCTAGTAGAACTTCATTCGGAACGTTTCCTCTAAGTAAAAAAGAACGCCCTAGATCGGATTGCGTCTAGGTCGTGTAAGAAATTAATGACTAGGGAGTGAACCTTTGGGCTTGGGCAAACTCGCCCTAGTTCTCATGAAGTGAGATGGACGAAGTCCTAAAACAGCCTCAGTCCAGTAGGGTTTCAGATCTTTGGATTGGAACATCACGAAGAACATAAAAATAGGTGTTCTGAGGCTATTTTACGAAGAGTAGTCTTTGTTTTTAGTGGGAAGCCGATGGCTCTTATACCCATTGGAGTCCCAAACTACAGGCATAGACGAAGTAATATGGCTAGTCACCTCTGTGTGTAAATGAATTTTCACGACTACCCCTAAAAGTTTCGTACTACCACAAATACCAGAACAGAAACTGTTCTAGTATTCGTGAGTGCTACTTTAATTTGTGACCCACTTTAAGGCGAGAGCCTGCGTACAGGATATTACTTAAAGTTATAAGTAAATAGATGAACAATAAATAAATAAATGAACAATAATAAAAAAAACATATTATCAGTTTCTTGAACCCAAATTCCAAACAACAGTCTACAACAAGTTTGGATGATCTGTCAGTTCTTCGGCTTATAGATAGATGGCAGCATCAGTCAATGAAAACAAAACTATTAGATAATCATCCAAAGCATTCTTTTTATCACTATTAGTCCAGCCTTGCTATGGGGTTAAGAGTTCGGCTTCGCTTGTTTAAAACTGTGGTAAATGGTTGTCAACAATTAAAAAGGTACAGTGCTAGGTTTATTTTTTATTTTGGTTGCTTTGGTAATAAACTTTGGCTTTGTTGTTACTTCAAAGGATTTTTAAAATAATAAATCAATTACACTATACAATAAATTTCAATTATGCTTTCCGTATCTGTGCATAAAAAATATTGTGTTGCTCATTTTGAATCTTTGATTTTATTTTTTTTATTTTTTATAGGATAGCTTCATAGTTGAGTTATAAAGGCATAGAAAATGCTACTTAAATATGAACAAACCAATCACTACAAGTTGTAAATTAATTAGTTTTACTATAATTATGCTTAAAAATTAAAAATAAGACCACTGGCATTGGCATGATTGAACAAACTATACAAACTAAGTTAGCTGTAAAAATTGGTTCATTGAAAAGATTAATTTGAAAACTAGAATAATAGTTTTTCTCAGATGAAACCCGATAAATATTTTTTTATAAATAAACTTTATTTAATTAGTGCTTGCAAGGAAGAATGAAATCAATAATGAAATAAAAAATGTATATGTAAAATCAAATATTTAACACAAAATATTGCTATGTATATATTAGTTTTTTGAATAATTATATTTTAATTTTTCAATTTCTCTTCAAGCATAACCTGTAATTTATGACGTTGGGGAAATAAAAAAAATTAATCATTGTAAATTTTTTGTTTTAAAACGTGTCGCGTAAATTTGTTTTCCTCCAAATATTATAAGTGAGAAATTTTGGATGTACAGTACTCGTATCTATGGATGGATGCATGGATGTTTGTGACAAGTAAACTCAAAAAATAGTAAACCGACAGGGTTGAAATTTGGTAAAATGATAGCTCACATTCCCGATTAACATATAGACATATTCTTATCTCAAAAATCCTTTCGGGCTCCACCCCAGTGGCTCTGGAGTTTCCTATGTTAACCTTATAGGTATTCATATTTAAAAGGAACTAGCTGTAACCCGCGGGCTTTGCCCCGTTTAACTTCTTAATTTTCAAGATTATCTCGTTCGCATGGCTCAATCACGTCCTGGTTGAAGTTTGTTCGCTACGCTCACTCACCTTTAGGTTGGAGCTCGTTCGCTACGCTCACTCACCTTTAGGTTGGAGCTCGTTCGCTGCGCTCACTTGCCTTCAGGTTAGCTCGTTCGCTAAGCTAACTCGCCTCCAGGTTGAAGTTCGTTCGCTACGCTCACTCACCTTTTGGTTGCAAATTAGCTGTTGTCATAAATGTAAAAGAAATAATAGTGCTGCACCCTGTTGGTAATCCTTGTAACTTTAATGCTATTGAACATCATAGAACAGAACCAACTTGTTTAATTGAAACAGCTGTTAAGATTCAATAATTCCATTTCTCATAAGGTTAACATGGGAAACTCCAGAGCCACTGGGGCGGAGCCCGAAAGGATTTTTGAAATAAGAATATGCCTATATGTTAATCGGGAATGTGAGCTATCATCATGCCAAATTTCAGCCCAATCCGACCAGTATTTTTCGAGTTTACTTTTCCCATACACACATACAGCAACCACCTCTTTTTTATAATAGTATAGATTAAAGAATTTTTTCAGCTGTTTCAAATTAAACAAGTTGGTTCTATGATATTAAATAGCATTAAAAAGTTATAAGGTTTACCAATAGGGTGCAGCACTATTATTTTTATACATTTATGACAACATCTAATTTGAACCAACTAGCAACAAAAAAACTGTGGTTCAAAATGAGAACTTTACTTTTTTATATGGTTTTAGTGGTAGAGCATTATGGTTATGGTAGATGTGCTCTACTATAGCATACCGTATAAATTAATAGAACCAAATATTCTTAAACCATGTCCTCTCCCATAACTGCAATAAGCATTTAATACTTGTATAACAACCCCATACGAAGGACAGGATTTCTTCTCATAACTTTTAGTTATATAACATAGTTTACATAATGTTTACTGTTTGCCTATTGGTTTTTAGTCTATCAGTGTTTACAATACAATGTTAATATTTAAGTGTACAACACTCTACAGATATATTGTTTTAAGATGTGTTTGCGAATCCAATTGGCTGCTTAAGAGTCCTTGTCTGGTTTTTTAGGATCAATAGTTTTTGTATAATTTTGAGTAGAATTTATTTACCATCCAATTTAACGTTTGGGTTAACTATTTAAATAATTTTAAAGAGAAAACATTGAGAGAAAGAATAACTAGAATTGAATTAATTAATGATTTTAAAATAAACAATTCATATTTTTAGGCAAACAAAATGTTATATGTACTTTAGATGCCAAAACCAACAAAAGTAAATGATAAATTATACTTTTAAACAAAAACTGACTGACTACTTCCCTTTCTCTGAATCAATGCCTTGATCATTTCCGTCTTTAAGAAATGTGATAGCCTTTTCTTGACATGATAAACTCTCTAAAATGATCAAACAAAGCTTGTCGACCTGTGAATGTTAAGTTGATAAACTGACAAGTGTTTTAAAACACTATTCGTTTAAAAATATTACTTAAAACTTTTAAAATGTAAAACAAGCTATATACAAGTAGAACAAGTATAAGAACTTAATAATTTGAAGAATGTTGTGGTAAATAAGTTTAAGATAGATTAATAAAAGAAAGTACAGCAACAAAGAAAAACATATTTTTGAAGTTTTCTTACATAGGTAGGGTGGTTCACGTAAGGTGACCCAAATTGATTTAAGACAAACTGTTGGTCCTACAATGATGAAATTAAATTATTTCCCAGTAAATTAACCCTAAGGAATAACGTACAACATTTTTAATGTTTTTTGAATACAGCGTGTTCAAAAACCAGAGGGTCACTAGTTAAAATCTCGGAAATATCAAACACAAACATATATCATATTATACATCATTTTAAATCCCTATTAAAAAGAAACACTTTGGTGAAAACATAACTATATTATCTTTAGCCGTTTAAAAATGGCGGCCAATTCTTTGAAAAAGTTTAATTTTTACGGAATAACCTGTATTTTTTTTTAATTGTAGAAATCTTTAACCTGATTCAAATATTGCATTCTTTATGAGCTAATATTTATTTTTGTATCCAATATAATAATATTATATTAAAAATAAAAATGTTCGAACGAATTTGTTTTTGAAAATATTTACATACCGGTAGCCAAAAGTCAACAAAATTCAAATAGCATCATATAACAAACAGCACATAATTTTATAGGTCTTGCTATTCCAAGGACCAAGAAACTTTCAAATTAAAATCATATCAATATATTTTTTTGTTTTTGAGGTATCAACTAATTATATGCTTTCGCTTTCCCCATATAAAACACATGTTACTTGTTAACTCAGGCCACAGTAATAGGACTCTTTTTCGCAACAATCGGACAGCTGATTTATCAGGTGATTTACAATTTTTTATCACTTTTAGCGAATTTCCCATATAGGGAATAAGCTATTACCGTAGTACTCATAGTAAGACCTGGACGCGGGACCGATTTTTTTTTTCGTTTTGAGGTCCCTAGAGGCCAAAAACACCATCCGTTCAAATTCATATATATATATATATATATTTCTATATTTATATATTTATAACATACATACTACATACATTAATATACATATTATATATATATATATATATATATGTGTCCGTCAGCACGATAACTCGAGCAAAAATGATCCGATTTTGATGAAATTTGGTACAAACGTGTAAACGTACGTTCATTCGAACGAGTTCGCGATCCAGCATGATCGGACCATGGGAACGGGTGTTTACGGGGGGTTTTATGGGGTAAAAATAGGTTTTTCCCATTTTTGACCCAAAAAACATAAAATTTAGAAATTTCTTTCCAAACCATTTTGTAGAGCTTAAAAAAACAAATAATTTAGTATATTGAAGAGTTATTATGCGCCTAATGGTTACGGAGAAAATTCCAAAAAATTGTAAATTTAAAATTCCCATGTTTTATAAATTTCCCATGGAGAAAAAGTAAACTGTTGTAGTTTGCTTGTTTGTGAACATATTTTGATCAAATTTGGAAAATGTTTTTTATTTCTTACTAACTATTCACATTAAAAAAAAAAAACAGTTTTACCCTCCCTGATGCAGCAAACCTAGTACTTGTTAAACTAATTTTATTTAGATCGGGAATAAATGTTATATTTTTAAGTAGACATTTCAGTGTAAATCCAATCAGTCGAATGGAAATTCGCTTAGTCTGCAGGTTTGCTGCGGCGGGGGTATTTAACTCTTTCAATGCGGCCGTCATGTTTACTCTTGAAAATTGCACTTATCTCAATGATAAGGAACCGGTCGCCGGCGACCGACCCGCACGCAATGTGTTAAAAAGTGTCAGAGTTTCAAAGATCAGTACTAAATTTTGACCAGTCTGTAAATATCATTCTAATTGACAAAATTTGAAAATTGAAAAGTATGTCAAATAAACTAATAAAATCAGCCATACCATATTACTTAAGTCCATTAAATAACAATATGCCTATTTGTTCAATAGTTCAATAACACATAATGGGGCAGCAGAGCAGAGGTAAATGATTTTGTAACAAAGAATGTATAAAAACCAAGTTATTGGTTTTGGTCAGGTTGATTCTCATCTTATGTATTCAGTGTTCGCTTCAGTATTGTTGGTTGTTGGTTAAGGCGATTGCCAACTTCTTTCTCAAACTGTATAAATCCTCCTGTATATGCAATTGATGGACGGTAAAATTATGCACCTGCTAAACTTGTACAGTGCTTTTTAGTCGGCAACCACGTTGTCTGTCTTCAGATTTTTTTTTTAATCCCTAGCTCATATAAACACCTCTATGTTAAAGGTTCAGCAGTGACTTTGGACTCTCCTACTTCCACAACCCAGGCAATGAGCCTCTACACTACCTGACCATTGGCCAGCTGGCCAGTAGAGCGGCCAATCGCTGGCCAGACAAGGAAGTGTTTGTATCCCTTGTCGATTCTTCCAGAATCACATTCAGTCAGGCTGAACAGCAGGTAAAAATAATGCATCAATTTACTGAGATAGCTCTTCATGGTGTTGATAAAAGTATTGTCCGTTTTGGACTTATTATTTCTTATTTCTGAAGAAAATGAGGACACAAAATATTTAAGTCTTTTATAACTGCCTGGAGTTTCAGTTGTATTTGCTGTGTGTTTTATTTCTTCTTCAAATGCATTCCATAACCAAACGCTCCACAGGAGAGACTTTTTTTTAGTATTCTTGATAGTACCTAAACCTACATCATTATCGGTACATTAGCGACTAGAGGGGAAAATTATGTTTAATTAGTAATTATTTCAACTTAATCCTACTACTATCATCCTACTTCTGAAGGAAGTTACAGATATTCTTTGAACAATGAAAACACACATGACTCTTGAATTATAAATTTTCTATTTTACAAAATAAATCCACGAAAATAGTCCAAATCCACTGAAAATTACTTCAATGTTGTATAAACTTTTATAATTCTGGACTTGACTAATCCAATTCTTCGTAAAACTTTCCTGAACTATCAGAAAGTCTATGCACTTTTAAACAGAGATCAAGATAGAGATTCCTTGGTTTTCTTGATAAAAAAACACAAATGTTAATAACCTCAAATTTGTCATAATTAAGTACAGCATCCTAAGTTATGGGAAATGTCTAACATTTTCCAAGACAACTATTTATAATATGTGAATGGTACCTATGAAACTACTACCTTGTATATTCACAGGCCAACAAGCTAGCAGCTGGGTTTCTAGAGCTGGGTCTTCAGCCTGGAGACAGACTAGGTATTTGTAGTCCAAACTCTACACAATGGTTCCTTACTGCGGTGGCAGCAGCCAAGGCTGGGCTCATTCTGGTTAGTAGTAACGAGTAACCAGTAGCCAGTAGGTAAAATACAGTATCATACCTTCTACTTTAGCCAGTTGCAGGTTTATTTCAACCTTTCCTGCATAATTTACATAAAAGATTTTATTCAGTGTTACAGGATTGATTTATGACAATATAAAATAGGTTTTCATTCCTTACGTCCATCCTAGTTTAGTGTCAGGCAACTAGTTTTGAAACGGTTGTTTCATTTTCAAGCCTCTTGTTGTCTTACATAAAATTGAATGAGCAAATTGTTGTTGTTACAACACAAATATAACATTTAACATACACAAACACCGATACATAGAGTTAACATAACAGTTAACACAATAGTTTTCTAGTAAAGTGATTTTTATTTCAATGAAATTCAACTCACATAAACATAAACAATAACAAACAATAATAATTAATACACAACAGCTGTTATGTCACAAACATAAAAGACCACAATCGGATAGTTGAGTCATGTTCTTCGTCATATGCAGTCCTGTCGTATATTTTTGTGTATTGACGACGACAACATGTTCAAATAATTTTACAGTAGACTCCCTCTTATCGGGACAACCTTTAACTGGAAATCGGTTTAACCGGACTACACTCGGTGGAAATGACAGCTCTTTAACTGGACAATTTTTATCAGCACATCGGTTTAACCGGACTAGATCGGCAGGAAGTGGACAGTACTTAAACTATACTGTTCTCGTGGGAAAGATTTGAGAAAGTGTTCACGTGTCTAAATATGTAATAATCATTATTGGTTTATACAGTATGCATTTAAACAGTCCGTTTTAACAAGTTTTTGGGAACGTCGGTTTAACCGGTAAAGCCTTTATCCGGACTGGCCTCAGTCCCCAGAAGTCCGGATAAGAGGGAGTCTACTGTATGTAAGACAACAATATGCTTGAAAACTGAACAATTGTTTCTAAAGTAGTCCCCCTGTCAAGCTAGGATTGCAAAAGTAAAGTATGTAAACCTATTTTATATTGACAATATTGATTTATGACAGTTTAAAATAGGTTTACGTAGTCAATCCTTAATTAAAACACATAAAAATATTTCAAATAAGTGTTGAACATTCCAGGTGTCTATGAACCCCGCATACTTGACCCACGAGTTGGAATACTGTATGCATAAAGTTGGGGTTCGCGCCATTGTGACGGATGAGAGCTACAGAGTCCAAAACTACTACAAGATGATCTGTGATATCGTGCCTGGATTAGCCAACTCGCCAGTCAACTCTAAAGTGAATTGCAGCAAACTGCCAAACTTTTCTGTACTGATTGTCAACTCTGAGAAGGTCTTCCCGTAAGTATAAATTCAACATCGGTTTGACACTTTTACAATATAGATGCAACTAAGAAGACATAACGATTAATTTTAGATGAGTAAAAACAATTTTTGATACTTAAGTAGAATTTTTTCAAGACAACATAGTCTAATGAGCCGCCTATGGAGTAAGCTAATGTATACATAAACTTCACAGTCAAGTTCTATAGTTAATGTTTAGGATGGTTCTGAAAACACAATAGTTCATTAAAAGCCCACTGGTGGGTGCAGATTCAAACCATAGAAAATTTTACTAACTGTCAGTTTTTCTAATGAATTAACTAAAGTCAAAATAGATTTTTTACAATAGTAAACTTCACTAAAGAATTCTAGATTTTTAACAACTAGAAGAAAAGAAAAGGACTAGTAATGTAATACTAAAGAATATCTTAATTGCCTATGATAATTTGTATGCACTGTTAATTTCTGTTTACAGAGGGGCTTACCGGTTTTGTGACGTAATGGAAGCTTCAGGCAGCCTTCAAGAATTGCAAGCCATAAGTAAAACATTGAGGCCTGAAAACAATGGGAACATTCAATTTACATCGGTAAATTATATCTTTGATTATAACCACTCCAAATAAAAAATGTCCAATAGAACTAGCCTCCAAAAAGACGACCTAAACTTCAAGACTTCTGTAATAGAGCAAAAAATAAATACACCATTATAAACCTGAACACTGGAAACTTCCTTACCCAAAAAGAAACAACACACCCAACACCTTGTCAATTCGGTTTCGATGGAGCACGTCTAGTGCAACTACTAAGAAAATGTAATGGAAATCATGCAACTGCTCCAAACAACATAGCAATTAAACAAAACACCTTAGTATCAGACGAGACAATACTCCTAAACGAACTACATCTCTATAATAGCAAAAAACACATTGACATTAAAAACTCATATAACACTAAACTGAACTTAGTCCAAGGTGTGCCAGACAGTGGGAAAACAACTTTCCTACTCAACAACTATGCTACAGGGAACCTCATCATGTTTCCTACAAGAGATGCGGCAATGGACTTCCGACAGAGATACAAAACCAACCACTCAGACCATAGCCAGGCAAAATGCAATGACACCTTCTGAACCGTGCATTCATTCATAATAAACTCCACCCAACATCTTAACACGTTTGCTGCGGGCCATCAAATGGCAGGCGTAGCCCCAGTGCGGCGCAGCCCGCAGCGTCGAACAAACCCAATTGCTGGGTGATTGGCTCTCATATCGTATGACGAATAGCAAATAACGTGCGGTGATGTCCTGTTTTATAACAAGAGTCGACGTAGTTCGCTAAACACTCACAGATAGCAGCACTGCTTGGAACATAGCCGGTCCCATCGTATTGCCAATTGGAGGGAGAAAGACGGGACAACAAGTTGATTTTTAAGTTTGCCAGACGGGGATTTTATGGGGAAATTTTACTACCAACCTACAACACAACAAAAAGCAAGTCACCCACTACACGCTAACGTGGAATAGGTCTGCCTTCGACCGATGCTAGAGCAAAAACAATAATATACATAAATAATAAAAATATGCTATCACCTACCATCATTCTAAATGAAACTGAATTAGAGAAGGTGTATGAATTTAAATTTTTAGGATTAACTATAGATAGCAACTTGTCTTGGAACAACCATGTCAATAATCTAGTTTCTAAATTAAACTCTGGGGTATATGCACTAAGGAGGCTCTCAAAAATTTGTTCAACAGAGACTCTGAAAATAGTGTATTTCGCCTATATTCATTCAAATATCGCCTTTGGTCTTTCATTATATGGGGCAACTTCCATTCAAAATTTGAACAAAATACTAAAAATTCAGGAACAATCAATTCAGATAATATTAAAATTAAATTATAATGAATCGGTAAAACTCTTTTTTTCTAAAATTGGTATCATGAATGTATATGCAATGTACATTTATGAAACTATAATTTCTGTGAAAAACCGCCAGGACCAACTTCATTTTGTTGGAGATACTCATAATTATAATACAAGATTCAGGAATAGAATTGGCATTGACAAACATAAACTTGGATTTTATGAAAAAAGCCAATGTATATGGGGTCAAAATTTTATAATATGTTACCAAAAGCCATTAAATCTGAGAAAAATATTAATAAATTCAAAAATCAACTAAAAAAATATCTTATTGATTTAACATTATATTCTTTCTCCGAATTCCCATGTAAAAATGAAGTGTAAAGAAAGTTTTTAGTTCTGTTTTTCTTTTCATGCATATAACTATATCTTTTGTTTTGACAGCCTTAGTATTAACCAATCTTAGTTATAATGTATCTTAGTATTAATTAATATTGACACCATTCTATGTACAGAGTACTAATATTGAATAAAGATTTTATTGATTGATTGATTGATAGATACGAAAGGCATTGCCGAGCGTATCCGATCGGTTACGGCAGCACCTGAACAGCGCTCGGCTCGTATCCGATCGGATACGCCCGCAGTGAACGTGTTAAGAGAGGAAACACCTATAACAGGCTCTTCATCGATGAAGCCCTAAAGATGCATGCCGGAGAAATACTCTTTGCAGCCATTTTATCAACTGCTAAAGAAGTAATGCTTATTGGCAACATTAACTAAATACCATATATAAACAGAGCAGAGAACCTAGAAGTTAACTACCACAACATTACATAAATAGCCACAACAACAAAAATAGTAAACACCACTTACAAATGTACAAAGATAACCACAGCCATCCTTTAAAAATTCTACAGCCAAGGAATGCAAACCACCAACAAGACAGAGAAAGAACTGGCGACACAGCAGTACCAGGGACTAGAAAACCTGAACCTCACTCTCAACAAAAATAAATGCAAATGATTGGTCTTCAAACAAGCTGAGAAAAGAGAACTAAACAAGCTAGGTTTCAGCGCATCTACGATACATGAATTTCAAGGATGGCAAGCAGAAAACATAGCTGTCATAAAAACATCTGCTAAAAGAGAAGAAATTTATGAATCGAATGAAGCACCACTGCATCGTTGCTATCTCAAGGCACACACACTCATTCCTTTACATAACACCCAACAGTAATGATAAACTAGGCCGTTGGATACAACAATCAAACTTGCTTAGCTCTCAGGAACTTTCCAAATACCACATCAACATAGAGAAAATCGCGGACCTACACCTCCCAAAGCATAAAAACACACTGCAAACTAACAAAAACCAAAGTTGCACACAAGAACCCCTAAACACTACCACCTCCCAACATCGTTTATTAGAAGAACACCCTCAACCCAGAGAAAGGCACAAAAACCAGCTCAAAGATGTAACACACCCCTCCGACATTCCGTACATTAAAACTCCAAACACCTAATAACCAACAAGAACTTAAAATTCTACAAAAAAATATAAATTGATTATCTAAATAAACTGATAGACTAGCACACTTCCTCCAAGATGAAGACCCGAACTGGATCATAATAACAGAGCACGGCGTAACACAACAAAACTTGCAAAACACGTGGGTAGAAAATTACTCACTTATTGGAGGCTTCTCAAGGAAATACCATGTCAAAGGAGGAGTGGTCGCTTCAGTAAGTGGCTGGGAAAAGCATGTATCACTCATATGCACAAGTAGCGAGGGAACAGAACTGACTTGTGAAACTGTGGAAACAGTGCTCACTATGGATAAGCAAATATTAATAATGTGGGACATCAATGTAAACAACCTAGTTGATGACAATGAAAATTGAAGAACTCCTAATCTCCTTCAATATCTCAAGACTGAGGCCAACTCCCACTCGAATTACGAGTGAATCAGAAACATCAATACACTGGATATGCTCAAACATTGATAGTCAACAAGTAAAAACATCAGTTATAAAATCAGGACTATCTGACGCATCTATACCGCACAAATCACAAAAATAATCACTAGAAAACCGATCTAAACTACAGAGACATGCCGAGAAGCCTTCAAGAACCTTAAAATTCTCACATCAATTTCACTCCACATAAGAGAAGTCATTATCCACACCACTAAAACAGCCCAGCCAAGACACAGAGACATAGACCAGCACAACACACGACATGCCGCCAATTTTTCCCTCCCACAACACCACCTGAGTCTGTACAAGCAGAAACCATCCTACAAAGGTGCTCTGTACTTTAACAACCTACCAGAGCACCTTAAGAGAGAACAACCCAATTGGTTCAAGAAGCACCTGACAACATGGCTTATGGACCAGTCGTTGTACTCAGAGGATGAATTCCTAAACAATAAGAAGCTACTATAAAAATAAAATGCTAATTGTAGGCCTAATTGCAAATGATTGTAATAGTTGTACCTGACGCATGAATGTTCTCTAGGAATATTTCAATAAAGAGTTTGTCTATTGTCTATATTCTTGCTTTCACAAGGCTAGTAGGCAGGCAGGCTACCAGCCTCAGTATAATTATCTCAAGTTAAGCCACAATTGCTCAATACTGACGACATATATACCATACTAGTTCTGTTATCCAACAATGCTTAGTTAATCCGTAAATCCGTATACATTTTCAGGGTACAACAGGGAAGCCAAAAGCAGTGCCACTGACACATTTCAATCTTGTCAATAACTCTTACTGCTTCGGTAAAAGGCTGGGAATGGACAAACAAGTAAGTCCAAGCGCACAAACTTTTAAACACATGGTTCAAATTTAATTTAAGTAGGCTATATTAAATTTTGTTTGTTTTTATTAGTGAATATTACAGGTAATGTTATTAAAAGCTCCAAGCTAATTTATAGTTAAATGCCTTAATATTCAGACAGTGCTTCATACAACAAGAAAACACTCTCCTCTAGACTCAATTTGGAGAAGCCATAAGCACCAAGAAACAATTTTTCTAATAATGCCACAAAAAAGTAAATATAACCATTGACTATTGATATTCAAATATATAACTAATAATTATTGACTTAGTAATCATTTTCTTGCCCAAACAATGATATTTTAATGATATAATCAATTCCAAATTATAACAATCGTTAAAAAACAGAATGACTTACTTCCAAACCCAGTGTCATTTTCAGTGAAAAGGAGAAGATTTACTCTTATTATTTTTTTCCCTTATTTTCACCAACTTGGTTAGTTTGATAATTTCTACCATATGAATACAGAGTCTGAGTATTTATATTGTGTACTGTACCGTGTAGCACTACAAGATTCTAGCTCAGTCTCCATTCTTCCATGTGTTGGGATACATCAGTGCTCTCATGGCCAGCCTCAACTTTGGTAGTACGATTGTCCTTCCCTCGCCTACCTTCAGTGTGCCTGACTCTTGTGAGGCCATCAAGAAGGAGAAGTACGTACTCTGGTTCCTACGCTAGAATAAAAATGAATGTAGTTTATTGCTACAGTAGAACTTTCAATAGCTTATTCTAAAGGTGTTAAAAATTACAAATGTAGTTCAAATATAATCATCATAATGATAGTGGCTCACTTTAATGGCCGTCTGACCATGCCACGGGCTCAACGTGCTTATGCAGGGGTGCCAGGGGCTCAACACACCCATGTGGGGGTGCCAGGGGCTCAATATGCCCATGCGGAGGTGCCAGGGTCTCGGTCTCGACAGGTCCTACACCAGTGCTGACTAAGCACGCTCATTTTGAGGGATCGGGCCAGTAGCCCCAGGTGACTTCCTGGTGCCTAACACCTTCGTTCCAGGTGGTACCCAGTGAGGGGGAGAGTTCCTCATACCCTTTAACGAAGAATCTTCCCACTATTTTTCTGCGTTTGTTGAATTTTCCATACAACCTCCTTATTATTCTAACAGCCAAAATCACTTAAAACACTACAGTTTTTACATATAACTGTGTTACAGATGTACCATGCTACTAGGTACCCCCACCATGTATGTGGACCTGTGTAGTTATGTCAAGAGTCTGCCACTAGAGGAGCAACAGCAGCACCTGTCTCCAGAGGTAGCTGTCAGTGGTGGAGCACTCTGCTCTCCTGAACTGTTCCGCAAGATGAAGACCACCTTCGACTGTGACAGGGTAGTGGTATGTATCCATTGGGCTCTTTTCTAAGTTTCCTCTGTTTGTTTTAGCAAAATTCAAAGAATTACTGCAATACCGGTACTAACTTTGACTTTTGAGATTGGGTGATCGATTAATGAATACCGGTACCTCAGGAGGTATTAACTAATTTTGTGGTATTTTTTGTTGCTACACAGAGTGAAAAGGTTCAGCTTACTGACAGGTAACAATCTTTGAATCATCTAAGGACCAATTGGAACATAAATTATTGCAAATATAGTCTAAATTAAACATTTTTCATAACTTCCATTTTGCATCACAGAATTCATTGTAAACTAGCGATGACTTAACTGCGATGGAAGCATCAATGACGATTTACCACTGATCATTTTTCCAACAGTCAGTGTATGGACTGACGGAGACGACAGCAATGTGTTTTCAATCTACACCAGAGGACTCTGAGTATCAGATGACTTCTACGGTCGGAAAGATCAGTGAACATGTTGAGGTAAAAATTTAAAGTAGGAAATTTTAAACATTTTTCGATAAAACAAGGGATTTAGTAGTCTGAAATTTACACTTTATTGGATGACAAAATATAAGAGCACAAACTTGCATGTGGTAAATCAATGAGCTGGAAGTTCAAAATATTTGACAGTCCAGTTATGACTTGTAGAAGGTTAGTGACCATTGCATAAGGTAAACTTGATGGCTGCTGTCATAATTCTTATCATTTTACTCCACAAGGAATAATAGCAATCTTTGGAGACGTCCTTTCCCTATCCCAAACTTTTGGACTTCTGAATATTCGAGTTAGGACAGGTCTCAGAACGATAACACATGACCGTAAACTGTATCTCATACTACAATATGCCATCTGGACCAGTCATACTTAACAGTCATTTTAGCTAGAATAACTTGACTCTTTAGCCAAATTTGACACAACACTAGCTTAGATTAGAAAGCTATATTTAGCTCTTTATTAACTAAAACATTGTTTCTGCTGTATATACACAGCACTAAATGTAATGTTTCTTGGAAATTTGTACTTAGATAAATAAAAAAATTCTGATAATAAATCATAAACATGAAACATTTTCTGCCAGAAAATAAAGGATTTTATCATAGTAAGTAATAATGGTGTTAAGGGTTAAGCAAGGAGAACAAATTGCCACTAACTCAAATTTGTCCTTATTTCAGGCCAAAGTAGTGGATTCTTCCGGAAAGACTGTTCCCATGGGAGAGACAGGAGAGCTGTGGATGAGATCCTTCAACAACATGACAGGATATTGGGAAGATCCTCATGGAACAGAAAACATCCTTACCAGAGATTACTGGATCAAAACTGGGTAATTAATTTAGCCACTGCTGTATTTTATCCCCAACATTACTTATCTCCTTTTATTTTAAAATTTTTAAAAGTTGGTGTGCAAAAAAACTATTTTTCAGCAGCATGCTCAATTAAACCACAGATAAATAAGGAACAGAGAATACACCCTGGTACTCTTAAGTGGTGTCTAGCAAGTAGTGTTGGTGTGGGTTAAGTCCAACAGGGTCCTCTTCACCCTGTTGTTCTACAACGCTCGTGGTGGAGGAAGACCCTGTGCCCTGTGTGATAGGAATTCCTGCACAGTGCTCGCAGTTCGGGCTCTTCCTTTCTAGTAACAAGTATATTTCTGGCAAAACACCAAGAGTTGAAAGCGCATGTTTGTCCCATAAGCGTTTTTCCTCTATACCTTACTTATCTGTGATTTAAATTAGTTGAACTTATGTTAAAAGTATGTATAACTTCAACATGGAAAGATAACATCTACTTCACTACTTCACAACACAAAAATTTATCTGATTACTTCAATGTTTGTTATTCATTATACAACAGTATCGACAGTCAAAATTCTCTGCATATGAGAACAAATCTCAATACAAAATTTGAGGATATTGTTGTTGTTAGAGAAACAACAGTTAAAACTATCTGTCAGTACGTTTTATCAATGATGTTAGTTTTTTACCTTCCCATCCCGTACCATTAAGCTAATCCTTTAGTAATAAAAATATAATTGTATAACAGCTTTCTTAAAAAACTATTAAGGAATTTTGCATTTTTACAATTTCCAGAGATAAGTTTGTCCTCTCCCCTGATGGCTATGGACAAGTGGTTGGAAGGATTAAGGACATGATTATCCGAGGAGGAGAGAATATTTCACCCAAGGAGGTTGAGGACTTTTTAGCGACACATCCTAATATCCTGGAAGCCCAGGTTTATGGAGTGTTAAGTGAGCGGCTCGGGGAAGAAGTAGGCTGCAGTCTAAGGTTGCAGCCTGGAGCTCAAATATCCGAACAGGAGGTCGTAGACTTCTGCAAGGGTCAGGTTAGAAGATTATTAAGCTATTTACTTTAAGTATCATAGGAATAGTCAGTTTTAGGTACAATTCCGAAGGGAAAACTGGCAAAATGGTCTCTAGTTTGAAAAAAAAAACAATTTATAATTTGTAAAGACCTGAACAATTTTCCTTCCTCTTATTGCTCTGTAACTCAAAGGCTATTATTTTGAGCATGGATATGTTATATTATTTTTATGTATAAGTTCTAGTATACTGGTAACTTAACTGTTTTTTTTTTTAGTTTAAAAAACATTCCCAGTTTAGTTTTGCATACCAACTATGTGGTATTGATTAAATTGCTTCTGATATTGTGGTGCTAACCCGGCAGATGGCTTATTTGGCAAACTTCAAGGAGTGTTTGAATTTTCAAATTTCTGTGCACTAGGTACCTGACTCTGTACACAAGCTTTCAACAATAAAGTACTTTCTCATTCTTCTTTCTTTCTTTTTATTTGAGGTATATTCTTGTCTCAAATCCCATTTGAGAATTTTTAATCCTCCTTAAAAAATTGTGTACAGTTTTTTTAGGTTTTGGCCTTTTTTCATCCTGTTATTGTTATTCTTATTGTTTAAGTAGTTTTAATACAAATATCTTTTTACAGATTTCCTACTTCAAAATACCAAAGTATGTAGAAGTGCTTAAGGAATTCCCCAAAACTGGCTCTGGAAAAATACAAAAGTTTAAGCTACGAGAGGCAATGGAGAGAAAACTAGGATTAAGAAAATAGATCTGATGGCAATAGTGACTGTTTGTTGTTGTTTTCCCTGTTTACATTAATATGATAAGACTAACAAAGTTCTGTATATAAAATCTCTTTATGATCAAATAAATTTGTGTATCAGCTCTGTTTTAACAGATATGTTATAACAATAGATTCAAGTACTCAATGAAATGTTGGTTAATGTTTTTATCAAATAGTCTACCGGTACTAATTGTGCTTACCAATGCAATATTTGTATTTTTTATGAAATTTGGGAAAGAACCATCGATGAGTAGTTGTACAGCACTATTATGTTTTACCCTGTTAGTTTAGTCAGATAAAAGGTAGACTTAACTTGAGAAAAAAGATAAGAAGGCAATGAAATTGGACTATAAAACTCTCGGTAACTAACTTTAAAAAATTAACAAGACTTGACATGTTTTCTTTTCATTGGCACAGCAGTTAAACCCAATAATGATTAATAAAACCCAAAAGAAATAATGTTAATAATTAAATGTAATTTTGATTGATAATTAATGTATATTACATTAGTACATAGTACAGTAATACATATATCACAGTATAGATTAATCTATATATTTAATACGCGACATGAAACTTTGTGAACAATAAGGCTTTTTTGTTTTAAGATTTAACCCCACATATTATGTACCAAAATGTTCGTCTAGGTGTGTAGATGTGCAAACTGGCTTCAGATTTTTGAAATATATCTTTTTAAGGGCGTGGGCTGCACTCAAAGTTCCTTCCATAAGGATAACATTGTGATTGATTTGAATGTTATTATATTCTGAAACAAATGTCAATACATTAGTTTAAAAAAATTAGATCCCAGCTGTTTTGTTTGGTTTTGAAATGTTTAATAGTTTGCATGTTTTTAAAAATAATTAGAAACCTGGCAAAGAAATGTTACCTATAGGACATGACGGGAGAAAAGTTTTACATAATATTTTCGTTTAAACATGCCAAGGACCCGACGACAAAGAAATATAGCCGGTCGGACACGGTGAGTCAACATACGGCAAGCAATGCAAAACGTAAGGAGCCCAGACGAGGAGCTGGAACCGTGAGTGGCAACGTGTACTTACAAATTACACTGACAAATACAGTACAAGAATTCATCAGCATTCACTTGGCGAGATGGCACTGAAATATCAGAAATGAGGTGCGCTACATTTTAAAGAAGAACAAATAGGACGAGGCGAAGGATTTTCATCCTGCTGCCATAAATGAAAAGTGAATCTACCACCATCCCGATAAATCTATTATATCCAGAGCCTAGAAATCATTTGAGCAGAAACTACAAAGAGAACATTAGATCGTAGAACTCGGCGCTCGCAATGGTCAGCAATCGAGCTAAAATTGAAGAACATAACGGTTGAGGCATTTCTGTATAAGAAGGTGCACGATAAAATTTATCACTCAATTGGCACATTTCAACCGTCAGAAGGGGAGCATCCAACATATGCCCAAATTTATATATACGACGTCGAAACCGCTGTTCAAGAAAGAATGCCAAACAAAGCTAATGGCTCTTGCAGCACTGAACTCGTGCACATTTTGACTCAACATTTGGTTGATATTAATCCATACGCGCAAGTTTTCAGCATGATGAGCTCCATCCTGCAAAATACTCCTACTGAACAGAAAAAAGAACTTAGAATGCATATAGCCAACAATCGAGCTCAAGACCAACGTCGATACAACGACGCAACTTCTATGACGTTGCTATAATATCCTAACTTATTATTCGTGCGAATTCGCACGGGTTCACCTAGTAGTCTTTATTATAACACGGCTGCTTAACAAATCTTTTGCAAGGACTTACAACTATTTTTGCAGATCTTTAATGTCCCTCATTAATTTTCCTCATAATAATACGGTTTAAAGGTTTACTTGAATACTCTCATTTTATAAACTAAAACACAAATCTAAAGCTTTTTTTTAGTATTATAAAAATAAATAACAATAACATTGTTTTAAATACACACTGTTGAGAATTACAAAGGAATTAGCACCGTTAAGTTATGAACTTAACAAAAAATGTCAATGCCATAAAAAAAAGATAAGCAGAGAAAACAATGATAAAGCCCATTTTATATATAACTAAAATTAGAAATTATCACCAAATGAGATAAACCCAGTGATTGTTATTTTGGATGATTGTACTTCCATTATAATACTTGTAAACCTAACAACATCCTGTTAGTTATGCTATGTTATGACAGATGGCAGTGTAAGCCAAGGTCAAAGATACTTTATATCACAGTTTATCTCAGTCAATACTGTGAGGTAACCCATGAAAGCAGGAGTGAAGTGAAGTAGTTGAATAAGTTGTAGATTAGAAATCTAACAGTAAATACAGAACAGATATTTTCCTAAAAGTTTAAAGTGTGGTTTCGTAGTGATCGGTATATAATATAGTGAATTTGAATTAGTTGTTGTTTATGAACAATGGCAGTAAGAGGGAGACATATTTTGAGGAAACTCTTGAGTGAATACAAGATGTTAAAGAGGTAAGTCAAAATAACTTATTTAAATAGGTTATTCATATTTAAATAAGTAGCAAAATTGCTAAACGAACTGTAACGGTAGTTTTATCTTTGTTTGAAGTTAGATTTAAAAACTCTTTACGTAATATGTTTACAGAAGTAACAGAACGTTTGCAAGAAGAACTTAACAATAATGGAAATAAATACCGATTCAAAATTATTCCTTATTCAGAGACATAAAAGGTCTTAAATCCTCATATTAATGTAGTTAACCAATTTTAACGTAATTTTTACAGGACCATTGCACATTTTATGCTTTACTTTTTTATTTTTTTATTTAAAAAAAATTATTTTATTATTATTTTAATTATTTTTTAATTATTATTACTTTAATATTTTAAAAGCTAATTCTTTTATTTTTCCCTTGCCAGATATTACTACCTAATTATTCGATGAATCAGACGTAAGATACAGTAGTATATTGGATAAAATGTGTACTTTCTCCGTTTATCGGTACTCCTCGAGGATAGGTTAAAATAAATTAAATGAATTGACTGAAAATGTTTTTGCTTAAGAGACAAGCATTTTAAAATGTATACCAAATAGCATAGGAAAAGAAATAGATCTTACAAAATTCCGTAAACTATTGAAAGAGTACATTTTAAATCTACGTTATTTATTCTATAGAAGAATTCTCCACCTCCCTCAAGTAATTTAGTAGTTTAGATAAAATACTCTAGAGTGTCCATTATTTTTTTCTGTTACTTTATATTTTACCCTCCTTATGCTTTATAATTTTTGATTTTAGTTTTAGAATTCATTGATACTGCTCATTGTTTCTATGATAGTAATTAAAGTACAATTGCATTACATTTCCCAGACAAAGCAGCAGTGTAAAGCTGAGCTACTATCACCAACCAACGTCAGAGCCTCTGCGTTACCAGACAATCGGCCAGCTGGCCACCACAGCTGCAGATAAATGGCCAGACACTGAGGTGGTAGTGTCTGTCCAGCAATCCCAGACACTAACCTTCAGTCAGGCAGAACATCAGGTACCCTACAGCTGTAGAAATACAGAAACTTTAACTAAAAGCAGAAAGAGAGCACTATTAAGATGGAAGATCGTATAGAAAAATCTCTGAAAGTTCTCCGCACCTCAGGAACTGGACTGACTCTATTTTTTTAAATACCTAATTCTACTGCTGACCTGAAAATTCACAGTTGAGGAATCCAGCCCTCTTTTTCTCCCCTCCCTCTCTCACAAAATTGATTATGTGAATACATACCCAGAATGGGTTGAGGGTCGTTGGATCTTTGTCTTTATGAACCAATAAGTTAACATTACTTCTCAGGCAAGAACTCCTGTTAGTAGAAATCATACACACAGATAATACTATATTATATTTTATATTCTTATTAATAAAATATCTAATTCATCCTTAACTGTATTCACAGGCCAACAAGCTAGCAGCTGGGTTTCTAGAGCTGGGTCTTCAGCCTGGAGACAGACTAGGTATTTGTAGTCCAAACTCTACACAATGGTTCCTTACTGCGGTGGCAGCAGCCAAGGCTGGACTCATACTGGTTAGTAGCAACCAGCAACCAGTAACCAGTAGGTAACAACCAGTATAGCAACCAGTAACCAGTAGGTAGATACTGTTAATACTGTTCAATTAAATGGCGAGTAGGTATTTTAAGCCAAGTATGAATGGAAATGAGAGTAGGATGAGTGGCGCGATCTTGTAGTCTTGTTGGTGACTAAGGCCGACATTCCTTAGCCACAGCTGTTAATTAATAGCCTATACAGCTAATGGCAACTAAGGGACCTACAGTTTATAGTGGAATCCGAACCACATTTATGCCTTGGTATATACGAATTGGTCTAATTATCAGGATAGTAGGTACTGCGGATAGTCGTAGTACTCACCCGTGCGGACGTTAATCCACACTAGGGAATATCCCATCCACAGTGCATCACTAAATAAACATCCACAATTCGTGACCTCCTAGTAGCTGGATTACAGGAAGACACCACCCGTCCCAGTCCAACTGGAGGTAACAACCAGTATAGCAACCAGTAGCTCTCTTTGTCCAGGTTTGCCAGATCTCCAGTCTGAAGACAGACTGATTTGTATTTGTAAATCAAACTCTTCTTAAAGTTTCGTAACAGCTCTGTCATTTTCCTCTTAATTCAAGATTTTGTGTGGACAGGATTTGTTTCAACTGTTTTTGACTTCACCGCGATCACGATTTACGATAGTGGTTTTACCCCAATTGCTGAAGGAAATGTTCATGAATTTGGGCAACTGTCATGCAAGATGTCCTTGATTTCTTGGCTATTGCATGAGAACAATAGTATCCTTGCGCATGGGACAAGATGAGAATTTTGCCACTGTGGCGGTTGACAGTAGTTTTGAATGTGGTAGTGTCTGATTGATGGATGTCTGAAATAAAAGAGTGTTTCTCTGGTCGAGCATTTTTGTAGCCTACTTTTTTACCTATACCTTTGATAATAGCTACTACAATTATATTTTGTACTTATGTCACTATAGGTATCCATGAACCCTTCGTACATGGCACATGAACTAGAGTACTGCCTGCAAAAAGTAAGAGTAAAAGCTTTGGTGGTACCTAAAAGTTACAAAACCATAAACTACTACAAAATGTTGAGTGAGATCTTCCCTGAACTTCCAACATCTCCAGCCAATTCAAAACTCACGAGCACAAAGTTACCTTACTTTTCCTGCATAATTGTCAGCACGGATGAGAGTTTACCGTGAGTATGACACTATATGATGCTATTAAATCTGAATCCTCTCTAAGCTTGAGAGGGCTGACTTCAGCTAAATGTTTCTCTATGGTAAATTTTATAGTGTGCTGTACTCTTTGTTAAGAATATCAAAGGTTAAGCACTTTGCACTCTGGTATTAGACGTGGGATCTAACAGTTAATCACAATCATAAATTTTGTTGGATTGATTGATTTACTAACCTATGTCTTTATTTCAGGGGAACGATTCGATTTTCAGATGTTGCTGATAGCACAGATAGCTTAACGAAATTGCAAGAGACAAATCAAAGGCTGCGTCCAGAACATATTGGGAATATACAGTTCACATCAGTAGGTAGTTCTGTATAAGCTTTTAGTTCAGTAAAACCTTAAGTTTAGTGAGTGCTGATAGTATGGATTTGAAACATGTATTTCTTTTGCAGGCATAAATGAAGCAGCTGATCACAAAATGTCTGTAAAACATTATTCGAGGCCAGGTTACCTCCCTTGGTAAAACTATTTAACTACTAACGTTATTTATTTATTTTTCTAAGAGGTTGGCGGCCTCTTTAACTTTATCTCCACATAGAACTCACTCCCCTGTATGTGGAACGTATCCAGCAATTCACAATTGTTTTGAAACAAAATAATAACAATGCATAATGTTGTAAGAGCTTTTATGTGGTGGCTTATCTAAAGTAAACAAAAAAGTGAGGTTACTTCTTTGCTGTTTTAGGATTTTTTTCATAATATATTACTTTCAAAGGTTGCATGCCTTTACAGGGCATTGTAAGTCACCAGGGAAAACTAAACGAAAGGTGGAAAACTAAAAACTATAGCACTCACACCCCAAACAGGTTTACCAATACCATCTTGAGGAAAGATTTGTTTACTTTTTAAAAATATAAACACCATGCTTATAAACATTATTTTCACTTTATTTCAGGGTACCACAGGAAAACCCAAGGCAGTTCCATTGAGTCACTTCTTATTGATAAATAACTCTTACTTTTGCGGGAAAAGACTTGGCTTGGGAGAAAAGGTACATCATTGATTTTAAAGCAATTAATATTTTTTATGACTTTTTCAGTCACACCCATAGATAGTCCAAGTTGTGCAGAAATCCCTACAACAATTTACTCTAGTTAATTTGACCTACCAAAAATTAGATGCCCCCTTCCTAAAGATAAATCCAAAGCACTGAGTGATTTAAGTCTAGCTTCCCTTATACTGTGAAGATTTTGCAATATATCAAGAAGAGCCATAAGTGAAGTCATTGACCAGTAGATAGTCAATGCCAGTAGTTCAGTCCTAAACTCTGCACCACAGCTACAAGACAAGGGTAAATTAACTCCTCATTTCAATCTACAAAAGTTATATCTACCCAGCTTTGGCATCATGTGAACTTGATGGAGCAGTGTCCACTCTGTTTGCATGGAATGTTCCAATAACGAGGTATGCATTTGTAACAGCGATCTTGATTTTACAAACACTTGGCACAAACGTTTTAAGTTTTTTCCTGATTAAAAATAACCCCGTCGCAGCAAACTTGCCGACTAAACTAATGTCCATTTGTCTGAATTGATTTGCAATCAAAATCTATTTAAATAACATTAGGTTTAACGAGTACCTAGGTTTGCTGCTACAAAGACACTAATAAAGTGTGTTTTTTTAGTAAAATATTAATAGCTTAGTACAAAATAAATAAATTTGCCAAGTTTGATCAAAATATATGCCATAAACAAGCAAACTACAACATTTTACAGTATCTCCATAAGAATAGCATAGAAATTTTAAATTTACAATTTTTTGAATTTTCTTGGTTACCAATAACCATACAAAAACACTTTGATATACCTACTAAATTATCTGCTTTTACGCACTTTAAAAAGGTCTAAAGAGAAATTGGGAAATTTTGTGTTTTGAGGGTCAAAAATGAGAAAAGTAAATTTTTACCCCATAAACCCCCGTTCCCATGGTCCGATCATGCTGGTTCGCAAACTCATTCAAGTATATCCCGCCTTACGCCTTTCAACCAAATTTAATCAAAATTAGACAAAAATTACTCAAGTTATCGCATTCACGGACGTATATGTATATAAATTTGAACGAATGGTGTTTTTGGCCACTGAGGACATCAAAATGAAAAAGTAAATCGGTCCCGGGGCTAGGTCTTACTGTGCCACCTACGATAATAGTTATACTTCCCTATAGGGAAATTCGCTAAAACCATGAATACTGTATACATATTTTACCTAGATTGTTATTTCTGCAGCATTACAAGATCCTAGTACAACCCCCGTTTTTCCATGTGTTGGCCTACATCAGTGCTTTACTAGGAAGTCTAAACTTCGGCAGCACCTTAGTCTTGCCATCACCCACGTTTAATGCTTCAGCATCATGTGAGGCAGTAAGGAGAGAGAGGTTTGTTACTCAGATTAATTTATGTAGACTAATAATTCAAAACTAGTGTCACATAATGCATACGCATGTATTCAATTTGTCCTTTGATTGATCTGTTCCTTATAGTTTTAGACAACTTTGAGGAATGTATCTTTCCTACAGATGTAGTGTCAGCATTTTGAGGTTTCAACCTGTTTTCACATAATCAATCTTATAAAGTGTATCGAAACATTACAGCTTGTCCTTTGGTTTTAGTAGAGTACAGCGTCCACTTAAAAATTCACTCTAAAATAACAAAGCTAACATCAGTGTACTCAAACATTATAGTGTATAAAATGTAAATAACGAAAGTCTTAAGCTTTTACAACTGGATAACAAATCTACTTGCAGAATTGAAAACCCGACCCTATTATCCAACTTCAATGGTTGTAGTATCCAAAGTCGATGGTTCTAGTATCTAAAGTCAATGATCCTAGTATCTAAGATTCAATGGTTGTAGTTAGTGATGGTCAAAACCAGAAATTTCAAATCTCAAAACCAAAACCGAAACTTAAAAAATTTAATCCCGGATCTCGCAAAACCTGAACGCGAAACTTTTAGTTACCTGGTCAAGTTGTTAAAAATACAGGTACTATAATGATAACATTACCATTTATGATTATGCAGTCAAAACTGAAAGATATTTGACTCCTGATCCAGACATAATAACATAAATGTGACGGATAAACTTCAAACCCAAAATAACATTTTTTTTTAAACAAAAAAGTTAACATTAAAATAGACGAAACTCTTGATATTGAAATAAACATAAATATTACATTAATTAGAACATTTAGTGGTAAATATTACTTTTTGTTTAAACAATTTTTAATATTGATATGAAACTGAATTGTAAGCTGCTCCAGTATTTAAGATGCCTTTTGCAGTTCAGTTCTGAGTATAATTTACTTGTTTAATTAGTATTAGGTAATGGAATGTGTTTGCTCCATTGCTACCAGCTTGTGTGTAAACAAGTTACAAACAATAATAATGACACAAAAAATGTCAGCATTTTCAAAAATAAAAGTGCTAAAACTTCCAATTTTGAAACTTTTGAATCTCGAAACTCGCCTATCAAATCTCGAAACCGAAACTTTTCCAAAGTTTTAATGGTGTTGAAATTTGAGATTTGGTTTTGACACATCACTAGTTGTAGTATCTAAAGTCAATGGTAGTCTTAAGTCATTGGTTCTAGTATCTAAAGTCAATGGTAGCATTATCGTGTATTTTCCAGTTGCACAATGCTGCTGGGAACCCCCACCATGTACGTAGACTTGTGCAGTCATGTCTCCAACTTACCAGCTGATGAGCAACTGTTGCACCAGTCCCCAGAGATGGCCGTCAGTGGTGGAGCTCTGTGCACTCCAGAACTCTTCCGCAAGATGAAGAACACCTTTTCCTGTGACAGGGTCATGGTGAGTTGATTTCGAAAGGGTGTAAAAGGATTGTTGGGGTAACAGGCTTACCTGAAAGGAGAAGGGTCTACCTGACATTTATTCAGGAGTACCTCCTGAAAATTGTTACCATGTAATGTGACAGAAAAACAATATTATGAATAGTAACTACATATTTTGTGAGCCAACCTATTATCTCAGCATGAATGAGATGTACCTATAAAAGTTAACTTTATATAAGTTAAGAAAATATAACTTCAGTAGATTTGCAACTTTTATGAGAAGTCCATTCAAGTAATTTATTTTGAGTAAAAACTGACTAGGCACATGAAAATAGATAGTTTGGTATCCAAATCACATGGTAATACACTATTCAATCAGTGATATGATATAGACAAGTATTCAGTGCAAGATTGATTTTACAAGTGCATCCAATTTCAAATATTGTTTTGTTCAGTCTGTATATGGACTGACAGAAACAACAGCGATGTGTTTCACTTCAACCAGGGAAGATTCAGAGTTCCACATGACTTCAACTGTTGGAAAGGTGTCTGAAAATGTTGAGGTATGGTGGTTAATAACTATTTATTTATTAGTAAAATTTTGGAACTACTGGTTTTCTCACTTGTTTTCTAAATTTTAAAAGGTCATACAGTATTGTTGTATGGTATCGGTACAGTATAGAAATACAGTTTCTTGCTTAACTTAAATAATTATCTTTTCAGCGAATTTCCCATATAGGGAACAAGCTACTACAGTATTATCCTAGGTCCCATGGTAAGACCTAGACCCGGGACCAATTAACTTTTTGTGGCGAGTTCCCCAGAGCCAAAAACACCATCAGTTCAAATTCAAATATGTAGCGAACGGTTTCATGTAATACATAACTGACATACATTATGTAGATAACTCCATCTAGATAAGGAATGAATGCCATTTTTAAAGAGATATAGTAGTGAAATGAAAATCTAATCAGGCAAATGGCAATTCACTTAGTCTGCACTCTGCGGGTTTGCTGCGGCCAGGATATTTTAATTATTAGACTAGGCAACAATGATAGTATTTGATTGGTTTCAGTTTTAACTGTCACCCCCTGTGATACTGATTAGATAAGTTTGAACTTTTATGACGCCACACCATGGTGTGTATTTTAAGGTGAAGATGAGTGTACTTGCACCATTTATCAGTTGCAGACACTATCTCTGAGCTTCTGTGTTTGGTAGTATTTGAGGTATGTGCCTTGAAGTTAGTAGGTGTTGCCCCTAATCTTCACCAAAATAGTTTATAAATAATTGGCTTTAAATCTCATCATCTATAGGAGGGCTATGCTATAAGTTTGAGTGTAACAGTAGTCCTTTTTTCCTTCCACCTCAACCTCTAAATCAAGAAGCTTCTTAACTTTTTTCAAGCTAATTCGGTTATGAGATGAGTGTCAGAGACTTTTTTGAGCTACTTTGCTTTTTAAGTAATGACATTAAACACAAGCTTGTTGACATATTGTATTGACTAACTGAAGAAACTATTTTATGATACATCAATGATTTAGTCATCAATGAAGTGTTCTCTCACAGGCAAAGGTAGTAGACAAAGAGGGGTTGACAGTACCCTTTGGTACACCGGGAGAGCTGTGGATGAGGGGATACAACATGACAGGGTATTGGGAAGATACAGTGGCTACGGATATGACACTTACAAGAGATGGCTGGATTAAGACTGGGTTAGTACGAGGTGTAGTGATAAAAGTTCCTGGAATTTATTCTTAGGGACACCCTATGTAATACTTTTTTAAGACCTACCACTTTTTGTAGAACTAGAACCCAGAACCAATTTACTACTTTCTTCAGACCAGGCCTAGGGGATCGCATTGCTTTTGGCATTATCACCAAGAGACATTGATGATTGTCTTGATTTCAACCTAAGATCTCAGGAACCAAAGCCCAAAACCCTACCAATCAGCTTATCCCACTCTGATACAATAATAACCAGGGCCGGTTTAACCCATACGCGAACTACGCGGTCGCATATGGCGCTACGAAAAAGTGGCGCCAACGGGACACAATTTTTTTTCTCAGAAGACAAAATTGGAAACAAATTTACTGACAAGTGAACAACTAAATTTTGTTTTTTTCGCTCAGAGTTCAAGTATCCAAAGAAACACACCAAAGGCATTTATTCTGTTTGTACCAACAGCACTTCAACTCAAGGTATTGATTTGCAGTTTCGATTCGTAGTGAGCTGACGCTCGGCAGAGTACAGCGCGGCGCCTGTGGGTTTCATTTCATGTTTCATGAATCATGCCCGAGATAAGCGCGCAGCGCCACTTGTCACAACAAGAAACTTCCCCCTCCCTTCTTCCCCTCCTAGAGCAGAGCAGTACGTTGTAATGCACTCTAGTAGGCTTATCACTAATGGCAATAGAAAATGATGTTCTGAACCAGATTGATACCGACTCAGCAATTAAAGAATTTGCCAAGATCAAAGCTAGGAGAGTTAATTTTAAACAGGTAAGAACTTTTAATTTGAACTGTTCAAATTGAACAATCTGTATTCTTTTTGTCAAGGTAATACTTCAATTTGGTTTGTCATGTTTTCTACATGATTAATGTATTCAATTAAAAATTCCTCTCTTGTCATCTCCCTATACCTGTTTTTCATTGCAATATAGGCTTTATAAAAACTTATATCGTATCCAAGTTATCCTGTAAAAATTGATTTCACATTTAGAAATAAATTGTTAACTTTGGATTTTGCTGAAGTGTATATGATGAGTAAAAATTTTAAATTGCTGTGAGTAATAAACAGTAGTTGAAAAAAGTCTTTTATTGTAAGTATTCTTCTAACCTAAACTTATAAAAAAGTTCTTTCCAAAATTTTGGAAATAAAATTTAACAAATAGGGTTAAGTTACGTTCATGGGGGTTGCGGTTGGGGTGGGGGGATTCTAGGTGACGCTGATTCGGGTGTTCGCTTAACTCTGAAAAATTCCTAGAACCGGCCCTGATAATAACAACTAACAGGGTTTAGTTGTTCCGAATAGTATTTTATATCGTCTATGTACAGACGTGAAATTTGAGGAAATAAATATTTATCTAACAAGAGCTTTTTGAAGCAGATGGTGGTAATTCTTTGGAGTATACCACCCCTTAGTATTTTAATTCCGTGTGAATTCAAAATAATTTGTGAAAAGAATTGCTTTAAAAAATGAATGTTCAAGAGGTATCCTGAATTTATTTTTAGACACAACCAACATTCAAAAAAAAATATTTGTAGACCAAATTTATCCAAACCATAGAATCTAAAGGTTGAATTACCTTTTGAGCATGCAAAGTGCTGTTGCCGAAGATAAATTTCTTCCCTAGCAGATAGTACCATTTCTAGGGAGAGAATAGGCACTTCACCCATATATTCAAAAATCTACAAATAAAAAAAAAATAAAACTTTAGAATTCAAACTATGAGTTTTGAACGATAGATTATAATGTATATAGTACCTATACTACTTTATAAATGTTTTACAATATCTCAATGTGCCTTATGAGTTTAATCCAACAGAATTACGTGTTTTGAATTTATGGTAACACTCTTGTAGGTATATTTATCATCCCTCAAACTATACTTTCCTATCACTTGTTCAGAGACAGGTTTGTACTTGGGGAAGACGGATATGGACAAGTTGTTGGCAGAATCAAGGACATGATCATCCGAGGAGGAGAAAACATATCACCAAGGGAGGTAGAGGATTATCTAGTCACACACCCAAACATCTTGGATGCACAGGTATGCAAACTAAAGTTGCGTTTACATCAGAGTTTGCAACAAAATGTAAAAAAAAACATGTTGATAACCAGTATTGTTTTTCTTACAAATTACGGTGTAAACAAGGTTTTTGAAACAGGTACTGTAAGCAGCCTTTTTTAGAAATATATTTCATCACTAGGAGCGAAAGTGGCTCATTTTGGTATGCAAGCATGTTTTACGATTGAGTAACAAAAAGGGAATACGATTAAGTAAATGACACTTTGGCTCTGTGTATTGAACAATTATTTTCATCATACTGTGGGAATAACCTTCTAACGGTTACAAAATTAGACCACCTAGTTTGAGGTTATACAAATTCGTCATCACTGTTTACATTTCTGTTGTTTACAAACATAACTTAACACAACATTAATTTATAATGTATTTAATGTGTCATAAACCAATTTTGAGGTTAGGGAACCAGAAAATGTATAGACATTTTTTCTCTGCCCTATTAAAGTTACCCGAAAACGATAATTTTGCAGACAATTCAGAGAACTAAAACCAGCTTTTTTCCAGACAGTATGATGAAAAACTGTTTCCAAAAAATCCAGTGTTCTATGAATTGATGCAAAACATGTGTTGTTTAACTTTTTTGTACACACAGCTTAAAATCCTTGGATTTGATACTCTTGCCCTTGCCCCTACTACCACAAAGCTATGGGCTGTCTTCAATTTTGATCTTGGATTGATAATGGGTCACATGACACCAAACTCTACCTAATCCTAGACTAATTTTCATAGGACTGAATGGACGAGGTGTGTTTACCTTTATCTAGTTCTCTGTGGAAAAATGTTTAACTTGATGATTTGTTATGATCGTAGATCAAAAACCAACTTTCTTTAAGGTATATGGCCAGGATCAGCGGTAATAAAATTGTGATAGTTTGTGTGACTGATAGCAGGGAGCCAATGTATACCTGCCGTGTCTTGCATCTACTCTGAATATAAGTTAATGGCCCTACTACAGGTGTACGGAGTGTCCAATGAGAGACTAGGAGAAGAGGTTGGATGCAGCTTGAGACTGACTCCCGGAGCTAAACTGACTGAACAAGAGGTCAAGGACTTCTGTAAAGACAAGGTGATGTGTTTGATTAATGAAAAACGCATTGCTAAACTCCGTCCTTGTAACATATTTAGTTAAAACAATATTTCTTGTGTAGGATATAGATCTGTTATGATGACTTTACAAACAAAATACTAATTGTAGTAAAATACCTTAAGGAATTTCACATGTCTAGAATTTTTTTTAACAAGAACAGAGTTTAGTTTGCTTTTAGTGAATTCCACTTTTTGTATAAGTATGAGTATTGGACACTAGGACGGGATACTGAAAGTTACAATACATGAAGTGTTGTGGGAGACTTTTGTGTATCTGTATGTCCCTGGCTCTCTCATTTGTTTAGGTAATGATTGCTACTTAATTACTAGAATGATTGTAACAAACCTTGTACTAGGTTTAGGTTAACAATATTTATGGTACTTTTCTATAACAAAAGTTGTACTCTTCAGTTCAGCGTATATATTACACCATACCTCTTTTTCAAATGACATAAAACACTCATGGAAAGGTTTATTGGCCAAGTATTGACTGTTTGAGAAAAGTAAGCCTTTAACTGAATGTCAAGAAACTGGAAGAATAGAATTTAAGATTTTTAACAAGATTCATTACAGATTTAAAGTTGAAAAACTCTGCATATTATACTCAGCAAATTATAACTACCCTACTTAAAATTATAGTAACTGGTTTTAAATATTTACATAAATGTTTATATAGAGATGTAGGCCTATTGATTTTTAATCATTGAGTTGTATGATGGTTAAGTCAATTTAAAACATATTAAGATTTTTTTTTTTTACAGATTGCTTACTTTAAAATACCAAAATACATCGAAATTGTGGAGGACTTTCCAAAAACTGGATCTGGAAAAATTCAAAAATACAAGTTGCGAGAGGCAATGGAGAAGAAATTGGCAGTGAAATAAATATGATTTATGTTTCTAGAAAAGTTAAACTTATTCTTTCCTTGACCTACGGAAACGTTAAAGAGCACATTTTCCACTGAAATGTTCACAAAAGTAATAATTGTAAGTTAATAATTTAAGAAAACCTAAAAATGTATACACATTTCAAAGTACAGAACCCCGATAGCAAGTCTTATGAGGTGTATTCAATTTAAATCTGTTTATTCATAACGGAAATTCAGAATACAGTGGCTGAAAATCAGCAATGAATATGTGACATTATCAAATAAGATTTCAATTTGTTATCAGGGTAAACTTCTTAACAAGGTTTGCAATTGATGTGGGATTAAGCGTAGTCTAAAAATCATGGGTATTCGAAAACTACACGTGTTATCAAGAGTGACTTGTTATTAAGGTTCCACTGTACAAGCAAGAAACGAAAAACTTGGATATGTGTCACAGAAAAAAATAAAGCAAATAGTACCACAATTTAGTAGGCTATATAGAGTAACTTGATACAAATATTTAACCAAAAGTTTAAAGGCCAAGTTATAGTAGCTTTTTGAAATTAATTAATCACAAATTACAGATAGCTAAGTGGGTAGAGAGCTCATCTTAAAAACGGAAGATTAACAGCTCAATCGTAAGAAAGATAGATCTGGACCCAGTTACTTAATGACATGACCATAGATAAAAATACCTGAAAGTACAAAAATACATAAAATAAAACTTATAGTATTTACACTTATACTGTTTACTCACAACACGGTAAATGGGTAAATACATATAAAAGAGATGGTAAGTGGTATCGATATATCAATTTCAATTGGACACTCCAACCATCATCAGACCCAATAGGCGAATCAACGTCAACCAATATTAGCAATTGGTCTGATGATGATTGGTGTGTCCAATCGAAATCTATCACAACACAAATCAAACCAAAGAGAGTTGTAGAGGCATGGACAGTTTACAAAAAAGGCTAATAATAGAATACATGTTAAAAATAACATTTTCCTTTATTGGAAAGTACAAACAAAGCAAAAGCTATTATTGTGTCACACGCAAATTCAACAAAACAAATAACTTAGTAAACAATGAAACATTCAGTTTATTTATTGACAATAACAACACGTGGCAGTCGTCGTTTCATTCCAATCCCTCGATCAAAATAAAAAGCTTGAAATAAATTTGTGTTGTTTGAAATGGGATTTGTGTTTAGAACTTAGAACTAAAGTGATTTGATTTTGGCTCAGCATACCTCACAAGTCTGACCTAGAACAAAATTTATTTTATTAGGATTACAATATTGTAAGAAGTTACCTTACAATACCTATGTGGCCACTCAAACCACAGTAGGTTTTTGGCCTCACCAACAAAAAGTCTCCACGTCTCTCTGTATTCCATCCATTCTGTCTCAGCTCTTAGCTTCCCTATGTCTCTTCACACCTGGCCCTGCCATCTTAGCCGAGGTCGTCCTAATGGTCTTCTTCCCCCAGGGGATTTTCAGACACCATTCTTAGAATACAATCTTCTTCTATTTTCTTCTCTAAGATTGTAACGAGTTATTGATGATAAATTTTAAACAAACAAAAATTAATTGTTAAAATACATGATGATTCTCAAGACGTAGCCAAAAAGCTTGGCACAACCATTTAAATCTGTAGCTAATGTTGACATAAGTCTGATGCATATAGGCCAAAAACCTCTACTTGTGTTTAAATAGCAAATGTCAATGCCAAATTGTCTAAAATGATAATATGTTTGTTGTCCATATGATTCAAATACCATTACGATAGTACTAAGCTAAAACAACATTGTTTCACTGTAAGCTATCGAGGAAAACTGATGGGACGTTGCATATAATTTAATTGTTTGTGTAGGGCCTATTTAATGATAATTTTGGGAAAAAATTATGAAATATCATTTTTAAATAAAAGAAATCCAGAAAACGGCTTAATTTCATTTCAATGTTTAACCAAAGATATGGGAGAAAATGGAAAAAATTGGGATACTGGATAAGCTTATAAAGTTAATAACCATGTGTGTTTCAAACTAAGGTTGTAAAGTAAAGATAGATGGAGAAACCACATCTAAGTTATACAGGGGTGGGACAGGGAACACCAGAAAGACAGGAGGGGGACTATTCCCTCTCCTGTTCAATATTGCTCCAGAGGAAGCCCTACAAGCAGTACAAAATTCACCCTTAGGACTAAAACTGGGGGAAAATATTAATATATTGGCTTTTGCGGATGGCATAGTACTGATGGCAGAAAAGGAAGATGATCTAAGGGTTTTGCAAAGATATTAATTAATGAAACTGAATATGTAGGACTGAAGATAAACGACGTGAAAAAAAAAATTCATGAGAGTAGCAAGGGAAGAAGATCAAAAAAATGCTAATTTTCTCAAAATAAACAACCACAAATTCCAAAGAGTTACCTTATTATTTCAGATATCTAGGTGATAGAAATCTGAAGACATAGAAATTCAGAATAGGATAAATGCAGCAATTAAAAATTGGTATGCATGTGGAAAACTAATTAAATCAAAGTTGTTATCAAGGAAAACAAAAATTAAAATCTACAAAACAATAACTGAACCAGAACTTTTATATGGAGAAAATTAGATCCTGAACAAAAACACAAAAAAAAGATTATAACCTTTGAGAATAAAGTTCTAAGAGACTATGTAGAATCGTGGTCTTGTGGCGGCGACTATATCAAATACCCCCGCCGCAGCAAACCTGCAGACTAAGCGAATTTCCATTTGACTGATTGGATTTACACTGAAATGTCTACTTAAAAATATAACATTTATTCCCTATTTAAATAGAATTAGTTTAACAAGTACTTAGGTTTGCTGCATCAGGGAGGGTAAAACTTTTTTTTTTTTGTAAAAATGTTAATAGTTAGTAAGAAATAAAAACATTTTCCAAATTTGATCAAAATATGTTCATAAACAAGCAAACTACAACAGTTTACTTATTCTCCATAAGAATAACATGGGAATTTTAAATTTACAATTCTTTGGAATTTTCTCCGTAACCATTAGGCGCATAATAACGCTTCAATATACTAAATTATTTGTTTTTTTAAGCTATACAAAATGGTTTGGAAAGAAATTGCTAAATTTTATGTTTTTTTGGGTCAAAAATGGGAAAAACCTATTTTTACCCCATAAAACCCCCCCCCGTAAACCCCCATTCCCATGGTCCGATCATGCTGGATTGCGAACTCGTTCAAATAAATGTAGGTTTACACGTTTGTACCAAATTTCATCAAAATCGGATCATTTTTGCTCGAGTTATCGTGCTAACGGACACATATATATATATAGATCCTGATATATATGAATTTTAACGGATAGTGTTTTTGGCCTCTAGGGACCTCAAAACAAACAAAAATCGGTCCCGCGTCCAGGTCTTACCATGAGTACTACGGTAATAGCTTATTCCCTATATGGGAAATTCGCTAAAACGATGAAACATTAACACTCACCGACATTTCGGACTCGATACAGAGTGCCATCTTCAGGGCAACTTGACCCCGCATAGATGAATAGTCAAGTGGAGAGGTCTCAGGTTATATCTGGAGGGGTGGGGGTTAGATGTCCCAGGAATGTGTAGAGGGGTTGATGTGTTTACTGCCCTGTTCATCTGTGCGGAGTCAAGTCGGCCTGAAGATGGCACTATGTATCGAGGCCGAAACGTTGGTGAGTGTTAGTGTTTCAACGTTTTTGACACAGTCGTCGCCAGAAGACCACGATTCTTCATTAAGTGACCGTGGAAGCATATCCAGGAAGATTCTAAGAGCTATAATGGTCCAGTGTGTGAAAATGGAATATGGAGAATCCGCTACAACCAAGAGTTAAGAGAATCATTCCGAGACCCCAATATTGTAGGAGAGACAAAAAGCAGAAGGCTAAGGTGGGTTGGCCATATCTTGAGGAGAAATGAGAGAGCTTGTTAAAGAAGGTACAAAGGGGAGATCCGAGGGGAAGGAGACCAGTAGGAAGACCAAAGGCTTGGTGGGACTAAGTCCGGAAGGATATGGAAACAGATGAGACTAGTAGAGAAAGATTCGGAGGACTGAGAGAACTGGCGACAACGTGTTGGCGAGGCCAAGTACCAGCTTGGGTACAAGTGGCCATGGCAGTAAGTTTAACCAAACTCAATAAAAGTCATACTAACAGCAAGAGTGGCTCGTTGTGTGATAATTAACTCTGAAAAATATTTAAAATAGTTGGTAAATTGTTACTTACTTTTAACTTTTTACATGAGAGGTTTCAGAAAACAAACGTTGTTATAGTAATTTTTTATGCGGGTTTCTGTGTAGCTACCCCTGGCTACTTCCATAGTTTAGCCTTATGGCAACCCTCAATTCATTCCACCACCCTTCGGTGTTAAAGGCTCTGACAGTTTTACAAACAGCTATAGCTGTCAGGACACCCATTTCTTTTGTTTCCTTTGGCCTCAAAATTGCCTTTCCTACCCAGGAATTTAAACCTTTCCAGGACTAGAGCTACCTTTTAGATAGTCTATAGACTATTTCCTGTAAACTTTCTGACACAACAATCCCCAAACCAATAGACTATTTTACGGTATGTTATTTGAGCCTATATCACCTGCCAGGCCATTGTCGCTCCTTGTCTGTCAGTGGGACGTAGACGACTCCCATAAGTGTTGTCCGGGTTACAGACCCGTCCTCGTTCTTATCTATCTGCTCCAACTTCTGATCGCCATTGGCTGGGCCGACCGGCACAATCAGCCGACCACCGGGCTTCAACTGGTCCACTAGCTACAAACAGAAAATTCCTTATAAAAGGTCTTTTCATGGTCATTATTGTTTTCACTTTGACTTTCATTGTTATCTTGAAGGTGCCACATTTTTTTATAGAACGGTAACACAACTGACAAATCTGGGTCTCCAGAAGACCAAGTCATTGAATTGGAAAAAATAGCAGCCGATGTTTCAGAAGCATTGCATCAATCGATCTTTTGGGAAGAATACAGTTCAACTCGACAAAGATGA